TGAATGAATTTCCCAGCCCAGTTTGCTGTACAGCACCAGACAGATGGATCAAAGGGAAGGACAAGTGGGGAGGTGTTACTCACACATCACCGCCAAGCCTCAAGCCTACAGCCAAGCCACCTCCCCTACGATGCAGTTTAACATACCACCACTCCCCCACGTTTGACATGGATCAAATTCAATCACTTGTAGTTCACATTGCACTTGATATAATCTGGGTTAAATATAAATTTCCAACACCAACCAGGATAGAGGAGCCACGGAGGATTGTGTAAAACAGACTGCTGAAAGGAATTAGATTATCACCTGCAAACGTTGTCACCACCAAAGAGACCTGGAAGAAATTGCCAGAATGACAGCTCCTCAAACTGGCTTTGCTGCCAAAGGAAACAAAACACTTACTTCTCTATTCCTCTTATCTTTTGACTCCACTTAAACACCATCTACTAAAATAGCTGCTGTACAGGCTCAGCAAGCATCGTCCCAAACACATGTGGGAATAAACTGTATGTGGTTCTCACTGCATCGTGGATGAATAATCAAAGCAGAGGGAATATGAGACCAACACTGTGTGGCACAGCTCTCAAAATCTAAGAGATGCCTCAGAGCAGCCACCCCCAAAGCTGGTGGTACACTCTCCATGTGTGACACCTTCAAGACATTACAGCCACAGGAACAATACACAACTAACCTAAACCAAGCATTTTGCTTAAATGGCAAAATACCCTGCAGGCGTGTATGCACAGACTTTCATGAAAATATTCCAGAACTCTCCTATGTCTATGAAATAGATATTTAATGATGTTAGCCATGGGAATGCACAATGTCATTTACAACAACTCCCTTTTTTGGAACTTAAGCAGTCCTCATATTTCATGGTAAAATCTTACATAGAATACAAGAAGGCTCGAGAAATTCTGTGATTGTAACTTTCACTGGAAGAGGAAAAAAGGCTGTGTGCCACCTTCCATCTGCAATTAGGGAATGACATTACATCCACATCCTTATTGGTACCCACTAGGGTGGGTTATAGGAACTCTAGTAAATCTGTGGTAGTGGGAAAATTTTCTTTCCCATACAGTTGCCATAAGGCTGACATGCAGCTGTAGGGCCATCAGGAGCAAAAGACTGTGGATGAATACTATCAAGGACATAGGCTCTGTTCTGCTCTTCCCAGATCAGATCCCCAGTATCCGAGTCCCCTCTGCTCACACAGGTAAGCGTGTTTACTTCTTTGCAAGTACGTGAAATGCTGGCTTAGCCATGGAGGCAAAAGAAAATAGTGTACAGCGTGAGCAAGACCTGCCAGGTCAGGCAGCACATCTCACAGGGGGTTTGCCCTGAAAGAACAAGTCTGCAGACTCCTCCCAGAGGTGCAGATGTTTAACTCAAGCTAGATGTCTGAGATTCATATGGAGCAACCCCTGGCTGCTAAAGCCAGCAGTACAAGGACAGGACAGTCCCTGGCAAGCTCCAGGCCTTCAGCCACACTTATTTCAGCCACGAAGAAGCTGTTCTGCTAAGTCACATCTACAGAGCTCTTTGCTTGTTTGTTGCCAATGAAATCAGGAATATGGGCATGCTTAAAATTAGCAACCTTCTCTCTACTCCTCCACAAGCTGTTTCAGCTTCCTTTACATAAATACTTTTCTAAATAAAAACTGAGTTTGTTTTGGTCTTGAATTTCCAAAGTCCTGCACAGGCAAATCACATAAGGAGAAGTAAATAATCTTCTTTTTCATACTTACAAACAAACATAGTCTCATCATTGCCATCTTCAGCCATCTTTTAAACCTGCCAAAACACAAAAGGTGATGTTAGTTCTGCCTGAGTTTTACTTTCAACGTACTATTGAAACATCCCTTGACGGAGTGATGATGCTGACTGACACAGAGCATATCCAAATATACGACTGGCCTCTGCAGGGGTACAAATGGAAAGTTAAACAAAAATCTAAGTTGCTAAAAATGCCCCAGTTACTGCTGTATTACTGCGGGTGTACAGTCAAGAACAAGAATGTATAGAGAACGAGGCTGCAGAAACAGTAGGGATGTTGGTCAAGAAGAAAACAGGAGAGAGTAAGAGCTTGAACCTGTGAGAGGTTGGACAGATAAGAGGAAACAAGTCCAAAGACAAACCAAGGCAGCAGAGACTCACAGATGCTGTGGTGCAGCGATTCTGCTGTCAATTATCTGGGCAGCAGCCCAAGAAGGGTTTTGCTGTAGGGCTGTGCTCCCCATAGAGCTTTCCCAAAGTCTACAGCAGCACAGCCCTTCCTAACAACTGCCTGCAGCTAAGTGGCTAGGACTGCTTCTCAGGCACAAGTCCACCCTGGCTATGGCTTCTGGGCACTAAACATACCTATCAAAACATTTAAGCAGAAGCAGCAATCCAGGGAAATTCCTAAAACTTCTTTTTCTGAAAGCATTGTACACAATGAATTGGAAACCCAAAGTAAATGGGTACAAAACAGGGTGAATCACAGACTGAAGGTAAACATGGCTTGCTTTGCTTTCTAACTTTTGCTCTGTGGATGGTCGGTGCTATTTCAAGAGGTGCACGTCTAGTTATTATGATGTAGTTTGTGCCCTGACAAGATTCACCCTAAGCACAACTAATTCAACAAATCCTCTCTTCAGACAATGGTTTCGATACACAGGGGACAGAGTGCAGCAGATCAGCACTGCTGCTGTGCAAGCTGCTCTTCAGAGGCACTTGTCCTTTCGTCCTCCTCTCTGTCACGCTTCCCATGCAGTAGATTGACGACTTTCAGTATCACTGAGGCAGCAGGGTCGATCTCACTCTGGTAGCCATAGACTGAGAACAGCAATAAAGGGGAGGAGGAATCTTAAGCAAATAGATACTGGTCAAGGTGAGAAACTGTCAGGGTCACTCAACTATACGTTACTCAGCTGACTAGGCACTGTATGTCAGTTATCTGTGTTAGCTTCATTTTCATTTTTGAAGCCAGAACATGCACTTTCCACATCGCAGCATTTCAGATTCACCATCCACGGTTCCTGTGACCTGCTGGGCTTTGAAAAAAGGCAAGAAAGGAAAATGCGTATCAGACGTATCCATCCCTCATCACACAGGGCATTCAAAGCCAGGCTGGACGTGGCTCTGGGCAGCCTGATCTAGTGGTTGGAAACCCTGCACACAGCAGGGGGGTTGAAACTCGATGATCATTGCGGTCCTTTTCAAACCCAGGCCATTCTAGGATTCTGTGATTGCCTTGTGTCTCGCTCTGCGCCTTGCCACCAATTCCTGAGAGGCTGTCCGTCTCTCCTCCCTTCCTACTTCATGAAGAGCATAAGAAAGGGCAGATCAAACACCGAGGACAGACTTTGGGGCTTTTATTTTCATCTGCTGCTGTTCAGGGCCACATCTCACTATTTTTTTCCATGTATTTGTGTCAGAAAAATACTCCACTAAGCCACTGCACACATTTTACATTCCCGTTTCGCAGAGACAATCCCAGCTTCTGGGGAAACTCCAGAATCTTTACACAAACCGACTGCGCGCTTAAGCCAACAACAGCGCGAAAACAGGATTTTCTGCCCGCACAACGCAGCGCAGCGGTGCCTGAGGGGGCCGCAGCACGCAGGGGGGCGGCGCTGCCCGCCCCGCGCAGGCCGAAGCTCCCCGGCTTTCCCTCGCGGCGTACCGCGACCCTCGGCACACCGAAGCACCGCGTGCCCGCTCCGTGCGGGGCAGCCCTTCCGCCCCCCGCGCCGCGGGGCGGCCGTTACGGAGCGGCCGTTACGAAGCGCGCGGCGCCGCCCCTGCCGCTCGGCACCCCGCCCCGCCGAGGCCGGAGCCCGGCGGCGTAGCGAGCGCTGCTGCCGGCGGTATCGAGGGGCACCGGGGCTCCCGGCGCCTCGCGGGGCGAGGGGAGAGGCGGCCGGGCCGAGTTTAAGCGCAGCGCCGACGGCGCGGCGCGGCGCGGCGGGCGGCGGGAAGCGACCGCCCGGCGCCCGACGGGCGGCGGGGCCCGGGATCCGGGAGCGGCTCCGCCGGGTTTTGCCTCGGACCCGCCTCGCCCCCCTCCCTACCGCCCTCCCTCCGCGCAGCGCGGCGCGGCCCTGTAACAAAGAACAGGCGGCATGGAGAAGGCGGCGGAGGAGGAGGAGGCGGCGGGGCCGCCCTCCCGCACCGGGAGCCCTCGCCGCCGCCGCCCCCAGCTCGGCCCCGCGAGCCGCGGGGAGCGGAGGGACGGCGGCACAAGGGGGGATGAGGGGGGGGGGGGGACGGGGAGCGGAGCGCCGCGGGGGGAGATCCGCGAGGACGGGGCGCGGGCGCGGGGGGAGGCGCGGGGAGCCGGCGTTACCTGCCCTGGGAATGGCCCGAGCCGGATCGGATCCGGACTCCGGGTTCCGATCCGCTCCGGAAACCACGCGCCAGCGGAAGCCGCGCCGTGCGCGGAGCGTGCCGGGAGGCGTAGTCCGCCGCCGCCACGGGGAGCCAGGGCGGCCGTCGGTAGCGGGACGGGGCGGCGCGCGGACGCTGACCCTGACGGGAGGCCGTCGGGGCGGGAGCCGTGCCCGGCTCCGCGTGCGCGAGGCCCGCTCCTGCCGGCGGTCGCTGCCGCGCAGATCGGCGCTTCCTTAGCCCGGCCCTGCGCCCTGCCCGCCGCGCCGCCGGCGGCCCCAGGGCGGGGAACCTGGGAGGTCGAAGAGAACGGAAAGCGGGCTCCGGGGAACCCTTCTTCTGTTTAGCAGTGAGTCAGCGAGGGGAGCCTGAGCGTGGCGAGCGGGCACGGTGGGCTGGTGGCTGCGCTGGATCTTTTCCAGCCTTAACGATTGCGTGATTCTGGTCACAGCGCAGAAATTAAACCACTCGAGATGAAAGCAGGAAATAAAATGAAGAAAGCCTAAGTAGGGGATTTCAGCAAAACAATAAACGTGAGGTAAGCACGGGGAAACAGGGCCACGTTGGTAAAGGAGAGCAGAAAGCTGCCTGGAGTGGCTGGCTGAGTATGTAGGACAGCACACAGCACGGAGACAACAGGCGTTTATTGTATGTACAGCAATAGCATTTCTTTTAAAAATCCGTACATTTTTTAGTGATGTAATAAATCTGTACATCATAGGCTTTGTAACTGTACCAACTTCGTTTTTACACACACGCAAAATAAAGCAAAAAAAACCACAGCAGAAGAAATGACTGTCACAGTTGTGTACCAGAAAACTGAAGTGTTACCCCCACCTGGAATATCAGAGTGTACTGCATTAGCGGGAAATACAAAGCTACAGGATTGGAAACACCTCACAACCATCCTTCCCAGTTACCTCCACACCATGCCAGCACCTTGCATAGTAGCAGTTTGGATATCCTGAGTGAAATGACATTATTCACCCTCAGCTTCGAGTAATCACCCTGGTGATGGAGTTAACTTTGAGTTGTTTGTCACTGAGGCTGTGCTCAGCATGTGCTTCAGCACCTCACTAACTTCAAACACAGGAATAAATCCACTTATGTCCTGCAGAGGTCAGAGCAGGAGGTTGGTTGTTCCCTCTCACAGCAGGAATGCCTCAGCCTGGAGCCTGCTGTGCTTCATTCTGTACCATGACAAGCAGTTAGCTCTAACTTCGGCTCCACAATTAAAATGCTGCAATAGAATAAAAAGAAACAGACTCCCACCTTGTATAGAGCTCTTCCACCTTGTAACACCTAGAATTACCAGAACTAAGAGAGATGTTAAAACAGGGTTTTTGTTTCCCTTCACAAATTTGACAGCATTTTATGTCGTCATTGCTTTTTCCTAATTTCACATACAAACAACACCAAAGCATTACATGATGCTTCAGAAAGGAAGAAAGGAAGCTGTCGCAGCATAGCTCTTATGAAATACTGCGTCTATACTGCTGTACCAAAGATCCAGAAACACAAAAGTATAAGAAAAGGGGCAAAAAGGAAGAAAAGATTTCACAAATTGTTTCCAAACTTGTTCTGAAGTAATTCACTTGGAAGGCAGAAAACATGAAGTTTCCTATGTTACACCATGCTGAGATTTGTTCTGCTCTTCAAATGCATGGTTGGTAAAGTCGTGAAGACTGCAAAAAGCAGAGCTAAATGATTCTCTCTGGCATCCTTCACACAACTGCATGGGACATGATCAGTGCCCAGGAGTGCAAGGTGCAACATTATCAATGCCAGCTCACAGATCCTGCCCTTCCTGCATGGAACAGAAGCTCAGCTCCTTCTGGTGGTCAGCACACAACTGACACAGCCACTAAGAGGCAAAAAAAAAACCCACTGCTCAAATCTGATCTTAAAAGGCAAAAATCATCTAGGAAAGAAAAATAGCACTGAATTTCATGGGCCCTTACGGTTGCCACCACTGAGGAATCCAGCCATCCCTTGGGTTTGGTAGCTCAGCTTGTTTTTACAACGCAATACAAAGTATTTGTAGGAAGAGGTGAGGAACAACCAGCCACATGTGGAGGTCACACATCAAACCAAACACTATTTATTTTCCTGAGGAATGAAGGCAATTAAAGACCAAGATTCCCTCTTAACACAAGTTGCCTTGCTTTCCTCATCTTAATGGTTAATTCTCTTAGTATAAGCAAGCCCAAACCTTCACACAACTTGCAGTATGTTTTTTTTTATGTGCATATATATATATTAATATTATATATATAAATTGCAGTTCCCATCATCAAGACACGGGTTTAGGCAATAACCAAGACCTCAAGAAGGATCAACCAAAAAAGAAACCAACCCAAAACTTCAGGGTCTATCTGTACTTCAAAACAATAATACACAAGCAAACCCTTCTGCAGTCAGCACATTATTCAGTGTTATTTCCACCACATTCTAGAGTAAATGATAAAACTTCTGTAAGTTAAATCCCACTTCAGCAATGCAAACAGATCTGAAGTAGTGTTACGTGCTCCCTCTGCTCTCAGTGTACAGAGATGATGCTACACATGGAGCTCAGTCTCTGATTTCTTGAATTTGTGGTTAGATTTTTTCCTTCAGTAAACAAAATTGACCATGTAGAACACAAGAAAGATCTCTATCTGCCCAGCCCCATCATGCAAAGATGTCCTTTGCACGGAAAAAGTACATGTTGAGGGAACAGAGATTCAGTTTGTTTTGAATGCTTCGATCACAGGTCACCGTAGTACAAATGGAGAGTTCTAATTTGTGTTAAACCAACAACAAACACAAGTGCTCAAGCACACTCAGGCAGGACAAACCCATATTACTGCAGTGGGATTTTTTAAGCACATTACAGCTCCAGGACAGTCATTTGTAACACATTTCCAAAACATAAAGCATACAAATGCCTTCAAACGTTTTCATAATGAGCAGCATGCTAAGAGGTACAGCTGTTTGATAGGCTGGACTGCTGCACTACAGGTGATTTTTTTTACATACAAGTGGTATATTTCAACTGTAGACTCAGTTAAGAGATTTTGACAGTTTGTTTATTTACTAATCTGTTGGTAAAAAAAACCAACAAGCATTTAGGTTTTCTTTGTAGAAGAATTTACCATGGAATCTGAAGCCCATCTGAAGTTTCAAAACATACTTCTGTTCCTCAGTGACTTTCTATTTTTGAAGAGAAGTTGAAGACCAAAATATCCGCAAAAGCCTTGTATCTCTTTCCAGGGGTGAGGTGTGGGGGTGCGAATCGCTGTTGGCAAAGCAACACAAACCCATCATTCATTCACGTCAGTAGCTCTAATGGAATGGATGTCTTCCTTGGCTAAAGAAAACAGGCTTGGTCCTTTGTCCTCAGGAGGAATGTACAGGAAGGCAAACTTCAAGGTGGCACCTGTAAAATCCTGCCTTCTGCTCTTCTCAGCAGCTAAAACAAGAACTATGCCTTTACTTTCACCAGTTTTTCTTTCTCATTTAATGAGGAAAATAAATCAGGAAACTCAACCAACCACTCAGCACAACAACAACACTGGTGGAGCTAGAAACTGAAAGACTGAGGGAATTCCGATCATTATGTTTTAAAAAGCTCTCTTCACAACTGCATTTTCTAAGATCTCAGTAAATATTTGGCAAGTAAAACAAGCTGTCTAATGAAAAGCTTATATAGGGTTAAATATGCTCTATTCGAGACTTATTGCTCCTAGCTTTGCATTTGATATGATGGCATATATATATGCTTGTCTAACAAGTACTTGGGAGAAGGAAGTAGAGCCCCTATGACAGGTTTCTGAATTAGCAGCAACAGCTTCTCACACAGGGAAGAAAAGCTACAGAGGAGAAGTTATAAATGTTTGCAAGTAGACTCAAGTAAATTCTTTAAAAAGTTCTGTTTTTTAGAGTATAACTTACGTACAGAACATTAAACAATATGCTAGTGTAAGTATTTGCATAATTTATTGATTTATGGCTAATATAAAAGGCCTCTCTCCATCTACATGGACTGAGCAGAGTTTATAGCAGGCTACAGTTATTACAGCAGGCTCTCTTAATCAGTGGTTTAGCTCTGTTTCTGAAAACTTACCCGTTTTCAAATCACAATACAAAGTGAGTCTGGGTCTGTTTTCCCTTTCAGCCTGACCAGAAACACAAGCAGAGACTTGCATTGCTGCTGCTCCATGCCTCAGCATGGAAGCACAGTGGTATCTCCTCTCCTGACAGCGGTTCAATCATAGAGCAGGTATGGTTCTTCAGTTCTCAGCTCCCTGCTTCAGCCAACTAGGTGCTCGCTTCTCCCCACCTGCGCCGTTCCCTGCTCTCCCTCACCTTGCACAACACCACCACACAGTCCTCCAAAATGCAAGATGCAAGTAGAGCTGCTTGTATTCAGAGGAGCAACTTCACAGTAGCCAGAGAGAAAGCTGTTCTGGAAAAATAAACAGAAAATACAATCCTTCTGTTCCCTCCCGCACCACTGTATCAGCGAGCATCGTGTGATGCAAGTCATCAGCTGTATTTGCGTTCTCTGGTACTGCTCTGTAAACAACTGATGTGCAAGTATCCCCTCAGAGAGCGTTCATTCAGCCTTACGCAAACGGTTCTGCTGAAGCACCATTCAGTTTGCTCTTGCTTTTGTTCTTGGAAAGCAACTTTCTGTTAAGAATTCGCGAAAGAGTGCCTCCCTTCTTGCGCGTTTCCTCTGACAGGGGCTGCTGCAGGTAGATGAGATCGTTGTGCGACTGACTCATTCCTGGATCCTTCTGATGGTGGCGTCGACGGAAAAAGAGCTTTGCGCTCTTTCTCAAGATCCCACCTGCGAAAGCAAAGAGCAGAGGCAAAGGCGCTTTAGACAAACCAGACTGCTTTCTTCTAGCCTGCAGCTTCAGCTATGACTGCATCACTACTGAAGAAAGCCTTCGCCTCAGCACTTCGAGCTTAAGCACCACTCTCATAACTAATTAAACTATGTTAGAAAGCTAAGAGTGGTGAATTCAGAGCCACAGTGTTGATGATCTGTAACTGAGAGGATGCAAGGGTACGAGCCCCGTGCTGGAATGAAGGGATTTTGGATACTGGCAAAGGTGAGCGGTCACTATGCTTTCAGGCACTCACACACGCGCTACATGCTGCTGAATCCACCTTCCCCCACCACTGACCAGCTCTTTCTCAAGCAAACACCACTGAGAAATTCAGGCTTCGTGAAGTTATGCATCTTTCTGCTTCTCCTCGTTCCATGCAAGTATCATGCAAACTGAATCACTTGGATTCATGACAGATGGCGGTAGTACTAGATCTATGCATATGTCCATGCTCTTACAGTCAGCAGAAGAGTTGAGAAGAGCTTACACGTATTTTGCTAGAGGAGCACTAAAGAAGTTCTTTCCTTCTATTCTCTCTGAAATGATGCAGGTGAAAAGGAAGGAAAGCTACTATGCAACTATGAGGAATTAAACGTTAATCCTCCGATTTCAACTTTGAATTCACACATCTTGTGGAAGTCACCTTCCTTCTACTTTGTTTCTAATGCTCTTCTGAAAGCTACAATCATGTTCACACGTACACATGCACAGCTCTTAGGGTGGTTTGTATGCTGGATTCTCAAATGTCAAACAGGCACATTCCATCCTTCCAGTGCAATAAAAGTACAAAGTATTTTATTAAAAGATAGAGGAAGAAATGTTACTCTGTAGTTTCAGCAATCAATGGAGTTGAAAAGATTAGCCCATTATACACAAAGTGAAGGAGGCATTTTGACATGGAGGATCCTGTTGATGCCTGAAGTCAGTAGCTGTACGTCAGCCCACATGCAGCAGGCTCAAACAGTCAGACTGCCCATCTTCCACATGAATTCAGCAGCATCACCTAGAGCAGCAATCATTTGCTGGTTTAAAACACTGTTGGAAATAACAATTCACCTCAAGCACATTAAAAATAGCATTATGTCTGCTTCCAATAAGCTCAGAAATTTGCCCAAATCCCTTCTGTGGCAAATTAGTCCAGATTCTTTTATATACCCTTCCTCTTGATTCCATATCTAGCTGCCATTGCCTTGGCTGCATATCTCCACACCATGGACTCATGTTGGCAACACAAGACATCAATGGTCTTCCCTCTTTACAAGCCCTAGATGGTTTTGCAGCCGGCATTCTGCCAGCTCCCACCTTCCATTTTCCCATGCACTCTGTGTGCCTGAGGCACAAGGAAGGCTGCCTGCTCTTGGTACAACAGCCCAATGTCAAAATAGCAAGAGTCCAGTGCAGAACTGGGCAGTGCTGCTGTCGCAGTGACACAAGCCAGTTTGAACGAAGGAGGACCCAGGTAGCAAGCCAGCAGAGGGAGCCTTCTGGCACTCAGACAGGTACATGAGGACAGTCATCTTCCTGGCTAAGCTTCCACAACTTGTTTCTGCACAACCATCAGCTTTCCTTACTTTTCCTCTGTTCAACTATCAGATCCTGTCACTGCAGTCTCAGCTCTGCTTCTCCTCCCGTTGTAAAAAGATACAAAAAGCATCGGGCAGACCCATTCTTGCATGTGACTGTGCAACAGCAAGGATCACATCACTGCCATCTAAGGACTGGGCACAGGCTGCGTGTCATTTTGCACAGCAACAGCTGCAGAATAGGCAGTTCACAGCAGCCCTGCATCACGCAGCCAGAAGCTGCTCTGTTCAGACTGGAACAGTTACAGACACGTGCTCAGCATTATTACTTTTTTATTTTAAGGACTGAGCACTCAGCATCTGTGAAGATACTCTAGCGCATTTTGTCTTGCTGCGACCAAGACATGGGCCACGATGGGATTGATGCAGGAGTCAGCTGAAAGCAACTGGAACGCACAGACCTGAATCTTGTCTGCTCTCCCATCACCCTCTGATTGATCATTCTGGCAAAGCAGCACCACTTCAAGCTGTTGTCAACAGCATAAAAGAAACAGTGTTTTGCCCCTGATACTGACAGTTGTTAATATGCAGGGGCTGGGGAGGTTGCTGAGGCACTGCTGCTGTGCAGCTTTTGTTTTAGCCCTCAGCTGCTCTGCCCAGCAGCATTGGCAGCTGCAGCTGAATCTGTGCCAGCAGGAGGAGCAGGACAAAGGAGCTTATCTCTAAACAGCTATTTTGTCCTATCCATTCACTGATTTTCCATCCTAAGGAACAGAACTAAACCAAGAATGCTTAAAACTTGTGCTGGTGGTCTAGGACAACTTGTTGCAGCTGGAAAAAAAAAAAAAAAAAATGCAGGCTGAGAACAGCACAGCCTCATCAGTGGCTGCAGCCGCCAAGGTGAAAGCTCCTTGTGTTTTCAGAGGTACTGAGATTGCTAGTAGCTGGAAGCTTGTATCATCCACTGCTACCCACTGGTCTCCAGCCAGCTGGGTGCGTGCTGCCTGACAGTGGCTCCAGCTCTGTGGAGGCACCTCTGTAAGAAGGCAGGCTACAGAGCAAATCACAAACTCAGCGATGCTTGTGCTGTTTACATGCTTACTTCTTGAGTTCAACGTGATCCATGTGCCAAACTCAGCTCCCAACACCAGGAAATAAGCAGAGAGCACCTCAAGAATGCTGTACAGACTAGCTGGTCTTCACAGGCTCCTGAGGGCCAGCTCAGGCTGTTCTAACTGGCTGGTTGAGCTAGGGTCACTTCCGAATCTTTTTTTTTATTGAAGGACGATTTCCTTCCACATCTACAAGGACGTGAATAGAGACTGCTTCTTTCCATTCCTTCCTAACTCCAAAACAGTTTTTAATCGAGGTGTCTGTGAAGTACTCGTAGCTTTAGGAGTTCAGCTAGAAAGGAAATCTATATAACTGTAAGCAGCAGTTTTTAAAATAAGTATTCTGTGTATGCATATCCAGTTATGAGGTCACACATGGGTTTGCATGAGCAGATGTTCAACAGGAATGGGCATGATGGAGAGAGAGCAGGAGCACACAGCACCCCTCCAAGCCTTCCTTGAAGCCTGTTCTGCATGACCCACTTAGACAGCACATCCACCAGTGGAATGATTTGTCTGGGCAGACAAAGCTGCTAAGGCATCTGAGCACAGGAAGGCAGTTTGCAGGAGGAAAGAAATGGATGGGGGAAGAAAACAGGTGCCAAACTACATTTTGCTCCGATTTTTACAATGAGCGCATCATTGTAAAGCTACGCTTTCTTTAAAAGATAAGACAAAAGCAACTTACTGTGTAGGTAATTAATTCTGGCTGGCACAGTGGTCCTCTTAAGTTTATGAAAGGGAACGGGTAAGAAACAGGAAGTCAGAAAAGTGAAGAACAAAAGGTATTCAAGAGTAGAAATCATAGTGAAAGACAATGCTAACTTCAAGACATTCATACCATTCAGGAAGGTTTTTAAAGCAGAAAAGTGTTTGCTTTTTCTTGTTGTTGTTGTTTTTGTTGCTGTTCTTGTTTTTGAAAGGGAAAGGGAATTATTTTTGACAAAAGAAAAAAAATCAAAGTACTCCAAGCTAACCAAGGGAAAGGAAGTAGAAAAGTTTTCCTATCTCACTCCATTGAACTCACTCAGCTGTGAGCAGAGGTTCAAGACTTCCACAGAGAGATCTGTAAGGGATTTTTAGACAGTTTTAGAAAACATTTTTAAAGCTGAGACAATTTGTTCTTTCTAGCAGTCCTGCCCTACATTGCGCAAAGTAAACTTTCAGAAGCCTGACCTCTCTGCAACACACTGCGCATGGAAAAGCAAAAGTAAACAACAGTTCACCTACAAGCTTCCACTTGCTTGATTTAGAGTAAAACATTAAAGAGTCCAGAGGTTTTCCAGACCTCATAGAGCTCCCTAAACTTCTTCAGGCTCCAAACAAGTCAAATTACTTAGTGCTTAGTTCACCTGAATCCGTTCCAAACTGTCTAATGCCTGACCATCTTGGCCAAACTGATGGTTGCTGTGCCATCCCGAACTATCAGATGGAACAACAGACTTGTGAAAAGACCAGAAGACATCAAGGCTTGGTGAAGAGGTCTAGTGCAGATGTGAGATGCATTAGAATCACAGAATCACTAAGGTTGGAAAAGACCTCTAAGATCACCTGGTCCAACCATCAGCCCACCCCCCACCATGCCCACCAACCATGGCCCCCAGTGCCATGTTCACACGGCTCTTAAACACCTCCAGGGATGGTGACCCCACCACCTCCCTGGGCAGCCTCACAGTAGTCTAGTCGTGTACTAAGCTTTATTGTCACTTTATAGTGTCTCTGAGTAAGTATAGAAGTCTCTGGGTAAGAAATGCACAGAAAAGAATACAATAAAAGAGGGATGGAGATGGGTGAGAAATACAACGGTTTTTCCAACTTCAACATGCATCCCATGTAAATGGTGTGCCACCTGTTCAAGGCACAGGTGGGTGACCACTGCACTGCATTCTCTTCCAGACTTCCTAACAGCCACCCCACAGCCACAAACCAGGCACAACAGCCTCAGAGGTTATGGGGTTTATAAAGGAAACACAAAGAATCCTACAGCATTTTCAAGCTAAGGCTATCAAGGTGTGTAACTACATAAAGCAAAATATCTGATCCTTCATTCGCTTTACCCTCCCCAGCTATGAGTTGGGCTCAATGATCTGCCTTTTAACTTCTAAGGGTGAGTCCTTCCATTTGCTGATGGACAAGAGCATAAGAGAGCCTGCCACATCTCTGAGAGCCAGAGAACTGGACTCTTTGGCTTTTAGCAAGACAGCTTCCACCAACACCACAATTACACAGAGCTTAAGGAGGAAAAACAGTACCAGAGGATAAACTACTATACACTGTTGCATGACACTGCCAATGACGTGTAGACCACAGTTATTTCCCAGAGGAGAGGTAAGGATCACGTACCTTTAGACTTTTTCACGCTCCCAGTTTCTGAAACACTTAATGAACTCCCAGACATTTCTTCACAGCTCTGGTCTAAGAGTGTGTTGGAGTCCCACTGCTGGCTGCCATTCTCCAAAGCCCAAGCCTTATGGGCACTTTGCTGTGGGTCAGTATCAGGTACTGTTTCTGAAGTGTCTGATGACAGCTTTTCATCAGAAGTTACTTTTGCAGTCACTTCTTCTCCAGCAGGTGGTGGATCTGCTTCTTTGCGGGAACTATCCATGGCTGCAGCATAGTCCATCATCAGTGCAGCTTCACTGTCCTGAGATAAAGAGGTCTGCCCAACAGGGAAAATAAACAAATAAATAAATAGAGAGACAATGCTGACACAAGCCACTCTGATAGAAAAACAAACAAACACACACCAGAAAACAGAAACAAAAGCAAAACAAGCCTCCCTGCAAAAGATGTTCTTTTTTTCTCCTTACACTTTCATTTGCTCTGCTCAGGGCTATCAGAAAACCATCATGAGGCTCCTTAAGCTCTACTAAAGGAGAGGAGCATATAGCCAAGTTCTAAGAAGAACTGACCGTCACCATCTAATTGTCCTGTTAAAGCCAAGGGACTGGAAAAAAAATACTTAAGTACTAGTATTTAATACTTAAATACTACACAACAGAGAAATGACAAGGCTCAGTGGCTCAACTTTCTCTCAGAGCTCATTAGGAAACCCATGCAGAACAGCAAGACCACAGCAAACGTCCACAGAGCAGCCTGTAAGGAAAGGACTGCAGGCAGGGACCAAGAGTCAGATGGAGGCTATGGATAATGGATGCCTGGAAGAGTGCTGTATGCCAAGTGAGGAGCAGTCTTCTGTTTCCCTTACTCTAGAATGAAGCCCAGAGGGAGGGCTTTTCCAAAGGGTTTTGTTTAAACAATTTTGACATGTAGAAAAAACAGTGATATTATTTGTGTGCACATTGCCTCTATCAGCAGAAACAGAGTGTATAATCAATGAATGTTAGGATGTTATAGTTATGAAATAAACAAGAGAGTTAGGCAAAGCAGATAATGATAACAAAAAGAGAATAGACAGAAAGCTTACCCCTACCCTAGGCTCACTTACAAAACTCCAGCAGAGCAGATCTCCAGAAGAGATCCTTCCCCACTGGTAGCCAGCTCTTAAATGGGTCTAGGAGAGGTGCAGCCAGGCTCCACCCCTTCCATCAAGGTGAATTGCCTTCACCTGTGCTCCTGTGGCTGACTCAGTGCTCGCCTCAGGTGATCAATCAGAGGTTCAGGCCATTCAGCAGTTCCCATACACTGAGAAAGACTAATTTTTGTCCTTACCTAGGCTAGTTTTCCCAAACGCCTAACCATCTCACTCCTGGCCAAGGTCACCATGCATTTTTAGTTAAGCTTTCAAATCTAAGTATAAAAAAATAACCCACTTCCCAGTAAGCCCACCCTGATTTGGTTCAACTTGAAATAGTTACTGAAACAGGCAGACGTAGGTCCTGCAGAGACTGACAAGCAGGACTCTACAGAATGCACATTCACATCATGCTCAGCGGAGCGAAGACTTTACAGCACTAACAAGTAAACCCGCTGTTTTCTGCTCTACCTTGGACACCCCTGATATGATAATGGTGCTTTTCTTTCTGGGAGACTTCAGCTTCTGCTTGGCAGACTCACTTAACTGTCGAATGGCTGCTTCTGCAACAGGATCACTGCCATTCAGTATCAGCAGCTCTGAAAAGAAAGCATTATTTCAGAGTGAAGAAAAAAAAAATACAGAACAAGCAAAGAGAGGCAAAGCTTGTTCTAAATTTTAAATGTAAAGAGATTACAAGGAATGATATAAACACCACGTAAAACAAAACATTTTCCAATCCACCACCAAGCTACTGGGTCTTGTCTTTCCATTCTGCTCAATCTGGTGTACATTATCCATCCTACACAGAAACGGGACAGAAGTTGCACTTACAAACCCATGGCCTTCACACTCATAAGACTTTAAAAACCCAGACCATGCAGCCAGTTACTTCAGTTGCTACACTGTGGTAAATTCTGGCACAGCAAGTACACACTAATCAAATTCATTAAGCTTAGAAAAACAAATCTAATAAAGCTAATAAAACAAACAAAAATATTCACAGATTTAATTGTTGGAGGTGGGCTCTTCAGTAAGAGATTTAACAACAAAGGAATACAATCAGGAATAGCATGAATTAAACTAAGCAGTGTCTTTTGTTGTTGGGACATTAAGGGACTGAAAGATAAGGCCTGAATAATACTGCACCAAATACCTCAGATACTTTTGGAACTCAGCAGTACATATGCACAAGCAGTATGTACTCCCACATGCACGTGCACTCATGACAAACCCCACTTTTTCATCTTCAGAGCCACTTGAAGGCCTCCAGAAACTCCTAAGTGCCTGACACTGCATCAGAGGCACTTGCTAACTCTTATTGTTGCCACTATTTAGAACCGTGGAAAGGCCACAGGATCTTTTCCAGAGAGCCTGTGGCTAGTTTGGCATGCTGTCTGCAATAACTACCACCAATGCTTCTTTGCATTTCTTTCATTTGCCTCAAGGTTTTGTTCTAATGAGTAATTCTTCCTGCAATAGTGTATTAACATTGCACAGGAATTCCCCTGCATTCCCAGAGAAGGGAAAACATTGTCCACCTCAGTGTGCTCTGAGCTTTGATCAGACAAGTTTTCCAGTAAGCGCTTTGCATTTTCAATATCAGAACCAGTTATGATGGAAAACTCAGAAGCTTAGGGCTTTCCAAATTGGCTCAGTAATATCACCCTGCTTCATTGTACCACTGGTTTACTGTTGGAGGAAGAGTCAAGAGTTATTTAAAGGTATTCATGGTTATTGGTTCACGCTTTTGCCCAGCTTTTTGGCCAACACATGTGTCTCTCAGCAAGATTCTGACTGTTCCAGGAGCACTCCAGATCATCTCCAGATTGCCCCATATGCACCCAAACCAGTACAAAGTAAACAGAACTCCAGATCATGTGCTATTTGCAACTATACCACACCACATCTTCCATCATTGCTGCCTATACATCTAAGGAACAAATGGTGAAGCCACAAGGACAGAAGAACATGCTGAAGATTCAGAGCTGTGCATCAAAAAGGTAAAATGCCACAGTCAAAACCGAGTTTAATTCAGTCAAAGTGAATTTGTAATTAAAGGTGTTACTGAAGCTACGTGGGGCTCTGGAGGCTCTTCAACTGTATGGCAGGTGACTTAAGAAAGCAGATGAACAGGCTCAGCCAGATTATGTATTTGCATCAGCATAAAAACAAAACAACAGCAAAATAACAGTGGCAGGGCAAGGAAGAAAATTCAGTCTGCCTTACCTAAAGGCAGCCTCATGCCTTTTCTTCAGACAGGAGATTTCATAATGGCCTTAAGGTTAAATTTTGGAGAGTTTTCACTTTATGCAATGTAACTTGTGTCTTTACAGGGGAGGAGTTTTTCATTCAAAAGCAAGAGGAAAGTCAGTCTGGCTTTTCCACAGTCACCTCCCCTTTCCAAACCACAGCTCATTGTTGCTTTTTCAAAATCAGTTATTTTAATCACCAGTTAAAAACAGGCTTCTATTACAAGGCTGCTATACCCCTAACCACGGTACTTGCTAACATAAACATCTCAGTGCCTGTTGAAAGCCAATAGCGGGTTTGCTGCTATTTTAGCAGGGTTACATTAATCCCGTGTGCAGTCTAGAGAGATGTCTTCTTATTTGAAGCTTCAAAAGGTTCTATTACCTGTATCTGAAGACGATAAAGTTTTGCTGACTGGAGCACCGTGAGAATGGAGAGCTTGAACAGAAAAATCCTTTTCAATCACTTTGACTTTGACTGGAGTTTTCACAGGAGAACCTGAAAACCAAGCTACTCTGTTATTTGAACTATTTAAGACACTTACTATGAAAATAACAAGTCATATCAATTTAAAAGGCTGTTCAAATCACAAATGTTTGAGAAAGTTGTTTATAGAAATTCTCAGGGCATGCTCTCTATGGTAACGACACCCCAAAGGACCTGCGAAACACAGGAAGTCACTTTTAAACATCTCCTGTAATATATTAGACAGTATATGTTTCAATAAAAGATCAGCATTGACAGCTTAAAAGAACACAGCTCTTTGTGAGACTGCACACAAAGAGTGAAGAGGTTTTACTCTCATACTTATCCCAAGAGGAATCAGTCTACTCCAGAAAGGTACGCTGAAAAGATTGCCACAGGATGACACTCATCCTTATCTGGGATTATAATACACACTGAGGTTAGAAGGCACAGCACAAGACTGCCATCAGCAAGCACTCGTGTGTCTGATACTTCTATCGTGTGGAAAAACAACTCAAACCAAGCTGTTCTGCACTTGCACTCCACCATGAAATTTAAACATGCATACAAAAAGAAGCATGAACCATTCCTCTTCTAGCAACATGGTTTCATGAAAATTAAAAACCTGATTTTGAAGAATCCCAAAAACGCCGCCATCAACGCCTCAGAGAAGTCTGGATGATGCTTCTCCATCCACCCCTGCTCCTCCTTGCACCAACTTCTCTTGCCCCCCACAGACAACACTAAGAGTGAACACAGAACGAAGCGGACTTCCTCACCTGTGCTCAGTGGGGACGACCTCCCTTCTAGTCGAGGTTTGGTTTTCACAGCAGTTACAGTAGTGACCACAGTCCCACAGGGCATCACAGTTCGATCCTTTTCTACCTTAGTGCTTGGCACTGGAGAAGATGCTTGCCAAGTCTTTAACTCGCTAGGTTCGATAAACAAGAACTAGGAAGACCAAAAAGAATATTTCAAGGATGTTAATATTTCTAACTAGTGCTCCTTCAACATTTTTATTAACACACAAGGGCCAGCTAATGCTTTTGATACACATAAATACAGCACAGTGTGTTACCATAAATTATGAATGTGATACAGAAACTCGGCCACACGCTGCACTGCAAACTCACAGATGAGTACTCACAAGGAGGTCCAGAGCTAAAGGATCTGCCATAAAAACATCCCTATGCCATACCTCTGCAGTAATGGATCCTAGCCCAGGCCTCAGCTCTGGGCTACCATCACCGGCCCTGCTGTTCAGTGCAAAGCTTTGGAGGCCAGAAGGCTGCTTCCTGAACAAGTCTAGAGGTATAGTTGCCCTTGCGGATGAAGAACCTAGAAGAAACAAAAAGGCTGAGAAAACAAAAAGGAAGCAAAAGACCTATAGCAGGTAATTACAGTACCTGGTTATACACCATGGGGCAGCAAGGGCAGAAACATGGCAGTAGTCAGAGCCTTCTTTCCATTTTACAACTATTCCTCAGCCTGGCCTATATACTGAGCAACAGAAAGAATGGAGATGAAACCTTACTTACCTGCCACTATTTACAGCCATTTTTTTTCCCCTATATATGCCAAATGCTTAGAGGAAAAGAAAACACCTAGAAATATTACGACTACATTCTTGTACTATCTCCTTAATTGGTTACTTTGTCTCTTCAGAGAACACTCTCTGGGCTCCTGCTAAACTGGAGAATCATTAAGAATATTCATTCTTTATTTGATCTTCAGTGCAAGCTGAGCAGTTCTCTTGTTCCTCCCATTACCTAACATCTAATGTAAGCTACATTATTCTGAAGCAAACTACTAGCAAAATTACTGCAGGATTTCAGGGATTAAATCCCAATGCTCTGCAAAATACAGAGGCAAATACAGTTCTACATTATATTCACATTACTCGGCTCTCCCATCACTAATGTGATTCTACTTTGAGGTCTTCATTTAAATTTTTGGGAGAACAGCTGGAACGCTGCTGGTACTGTTTGAAAGACATGTTATGAAAGGTGATTGAGAACTGGCAGGAACAGAGTTTATGTAAGAAACAATATGCACGTGCTGACTGTACCTAGGTCTCATGTGTCTCTCCTCTCCTTTTTTTTTTTTTTTTTTTTAATAGGAAAGCAGCATCCCTGGAGAAATTTATTTTTTAGTATTTTTACATTTTACTTCCTAATCCTTCATTATAATCATCAAACTTTTGTTATCTGATTTCTTTATATCTGAAATCTGGCATAAGAAGGAAAAAGCAAATGGAAACAAGAGGTGAAATAAAGTTACCATTTCCAGTGAAAGCAAAAGTCTCTCCTCAGCAAAAGGATAAGCACAGATGAGAGGAATTTCATAGAATCATAGAATATCCCAACTTGGAAGGGGCCATAAGGATCACTGAGTCCAAATCCTAGCTTAACACTGGACCACCCAAAAATCAGACCATGATTTATGAAGTAGCATCACTTCAATAAAGCCCAAGTAGTGAAGTATTTGGAGTAAGTTTACAAAGCTCATGCAAACAGCTCAAAGTGCTCCTCGGCCTCAAAGCCTGCCTATCTGTTTTCCTCACATCAGCGAGGCAGTAATTCTCCAAATAACCAAAATGCAATAGTTAAGTGGTGGGATTTTCTTTGCCACTGAAGGCTAACTGCAACAGAATCAATTATTAAGAATATTATATTCCTCATGTTTTATATTTAATCCGATGTAACCAAAGTTAAGTGGCTTTATAGCTGGTAATTGCTAGGCAGATTATGGGGCTTGGAAAGGAAGACTTTAGGATTGAAAAACATGATTCCCCTCAAAGACAGGGAAAGCATAACTTGAAACCAACAGTACTCACATCATTTGCTAGAAGTTTGAAAGGCCAAAAGAGTTCTCTACAGCTGTTGACAGCCCCCCAAAGGAAAGGATGACTTAAGGTTTCTTTGTAACCTTAACTTTGAGGAGGTCAGAGACTCTATAACAGCGTATTTCTCTTCCGTCCAGGCTTACTGGTAGAAGTAACAAGGTACACAGGCAGCGGAGGAGCAAGGCAAACAAACCACTCTCACTCCTGAACTTCATAGTTTTCTACGGATTTCAACTCCAGGAGCTAAATATGAGGACAGACTTACAAAGTTCTAAAACACAAACTGAGCTACTGCATTTTCCCCAAACTGCCTGTTTCATATACGCTTGGCTGGCTATTCTCAGATGACCTCCTTCTGCTGTTCTCCCTTGCAGGGCTGTTCTGAAGATGCACCCAATGGGACAACCAGAACGAAGCATCATCAGACAGCTGAACTTCAACAGGTTTGGGAACCAAATACGATGTTATGTGGCTATACTGCGGAACTGAAAGAGAACTCATGCCAACATCAGCAATATTTGTGAGGTGATCACGCCAGATATTTCAGTTTAAATACTTACTATCCAACTTTCCGTCTTCTGCTATTTGCAGTAGCAGTGTTTTTGATTTGGCACTTAGTTCACTGTCAAATAAATGAAAGTGTGTTAGGTCTCTGCATGCAGGTGGGTCTTCATTCCCATGCAGGTTTTCCCTGCCCCGCTCTGGTCCCCAGCCCCACTGCTTCCCTCATCCCACAAAGAGCACAACCCCACGTGGCTGACCTGCCAGGGTGAGCAGCTTCTTTTTGACCTGTGAGAGCAGCTAGAGGAATCTCAACCAGAAAACCATGGCTTGGCTCTCCTCCAGCTCCCATTTCGACAGCCTAGAATTTCAGAGGCTTTTCTTCTCCCCAGCAGTTTGCAAACACTGCCTTTCAGGGTGATGTTGGTCCCTAATCTGACTGCTAACAGCAGCACTAAGAAGCCATTTCTTCCTTGGCAGGATCAACAGTCAACATTGTTGAAATTTTTAAGTTAAGATGGCGGAACAGGTCCAATCAACTGCCTATTCAGAGCTGCTCAGTGCCCTGTCCAAGCAGAAGAGTGCCCTGTAAGGCAGGAGAGAAGCGAGCAAACAGTCACAGGCTCAAATCAGAAGCATGACTTTTTCAAAATAAGACTTGAGGATGCTGCAAAATAAGAACTAGTTTCTCTGTGACAAACTTATGTGCACTATTAGCAGAATTACTGGCATTTGTAGTAGTCTGTCAGATGTACCAGACAGGTACAAAGCCTTTTCTCCAATGAAGTAATCTGGGTATCTACTGAGGAATCTTCCAGTTCAACCTGTGTGTTTTTCCATGTATCCACTTCAGGATGGTGTTATTTTGGCTGCAGATGCTCCATTTCCATCATCCACCCAGACGCTCTGGGACATTCTCTCTGCAGCAAGTTTAAATCTCTGCTCTACCATTATAATTCCCCATCTTGCACCTCCAAAACTTGTGAGCATGCACCTTGAGGCTGCCAATTGCTGCTCTTCCTGTGAAGCTAAAACAAAGCCTGACACAGTGGTCAGTACACTGTTCTTCAGAGTGGCAGACATTTTCATTTCTTTATTTTAAAGAAGGCAGGAGGGAATGGACTTGAAAGAAAGTACGCAGACAAATCCTGACAACTTACTTGTCTTTCAAAGTTCCCAAGCTTACCTCATGCACTTCTGAATAACAGCCAATGCTGGGAAAACCCAGCATTATCCCTAGTGTCTAGGCCAAATTCCAGTCCACTTAATCATATCCTGCCTACCCTCCCTTCTGCACTTTCAGTTCGAAAGGGGCTCATTCTTGTAGATTTCCTGTCCAAAAGTGCTGGGTACGTGTCTGTTCTGCTACAGCATTGGTGCTGCTCCACCAATAGATGGCTGAAGTGGTTCACATACACAAGGGGTGAAGTATATTGAGATGCTCCAGAAAAGAAAGGTGCTACAGAATTGCACTGTTTTTCTTGCTGTGGAGAAGAAATCACATCACTTCAATTGCTAAGCTGCAATAGCAACACAGTGCACCGTCACATAAGAATGCTGCCTGCTCTGTGGCTTCCCACAAAAGCGGGAGCTCCTCCAACTAAAACCAGACTTTGAAAGACAAAATGTCTTGAGCCATTCATGTCTCAAAGAAGAGTTTCCTAGCTGGTTGTCCAGTTGCCAGCAGGATGAGACACAGAGTGTATTTCTCCATCAGACTGCAGAGGAAGATAGGAGTTTTCAGTGTTGTTCTACATCATCATGTTTTCTGTGCTGACTACAGTCACTTCTCATCTCCATCCCTGCACACACTGAGAGGTCCAGTGTTTTCCACATCCTGTCCAGCTTCTGATGAAATTTACACCAAGCAACTCCTTTTGCTCCTTCCCTCAATACTCCTCCTCCTGTGAAGCACAATCCTATAGAAGGCATGGGCACAGACCAGCTGTCTGCGATGGGGACGCAGGAGAAGATTTGTGCACTGCACACTTCCTGCCCCTTGGAGCTGAAGAGAAACACACAGAAGCACACACACCACTCCTCAAAAAAGGCAGCACTCGGCACTGACAGACACAGGTCTGAACACTCACTCAATTCCTTGCAAGCTGAGATTCTGCTTTACCAAGAGAAGAAGTGGATGTCAGGCTCTGACTAAACAGTGAAGAAAAACGTCACAAAAAACAGATGGACTTTGTCTTGATGATCTTGAAGGTCTGATCCAACCTAGATGACTCCACATATGAAACTGAGAAGGGACTGGAAAGCTACATTGAGAACCACTGCGTACCAAGTGCCTCTCATATTACTAAGCCAGTAGCAGGAAAAAAATACAGCACCTGCAGCATGTTGCTTGGCAGCAGCACTGCCCCATTTTCTTGGGAAGCTGCATGCGTGCGTGTGTGTGTGTGTGTGTGTGTGTGTGTGTGTGTGTGTGTGTGAGAAAAGTCAGTTGAGAAATGCACCTCTGACCACACCATTAGTTGCTCCCCCTATTCCTTCCTCACACAACACAGAACCTACCTGATGTTTTCTGCTCTGCCACTAGGAAGTGGAAATGAAAACAGTTTTAGAACAGCTCACTTCTGACCTCATTTACAGAAGCTGTAAAAATCACACCATAGTGTGCACGTTGCCTCAAATTCCCATTTTTGTTCTACAGAAAAGAAAGCCCTATTTAGTTTTATTACACTGTGCTTTTTACAACAGCCATCGTTCTTTAAGGTGGTCAACTTGGTCGCACATTCCCATTTCCCATTTGAAGGAAGAAAGGGTCAGACATTGGACTTCTTCAAATGCAGTTTTCAAGGTAAAATGACTTCAAAACCTTGCTAACAATTTTTGGCACTGAATTAAAGTACAGGGTGATTTATTATGCCTGTTACTGTTGTCATGAACTGAAGTCAGATATCTATCAAGGAAGAAGATCTAGAGGCCTGTTTGACCTCATATCCATGCAAAGGGTAATTAGATACCCCAAAGTCTCCACCAGCTCCAGATTTTTCTGAGGCTGCCTGACAGACCGTGTTTCAAAACATCGTTCTTCTGCTGAAATCTCACACAGTGCTGGTTAAAAAAGAAAGAAGATGCTTTACTACAAAACATTCTCAGTAGGTGAGTTACTCACAAGACAAACTCTTCCTTCCAAAACGGATTTGCAGCATTTTTGGCTACAGAGCTGGAGAACTTCTGCATAGGGTCATTCAGCTGAGCTATGCACACAAGGTTTGTGCTGCCTGTGAGAACAACAAAAAGAAAGCTGTTAGTCTTCCATCACAGGGAGACACACTTATTCAGATGAAAGTGAAGAACCTCTTTCCTTACATACTGCTCTTTTGAATAGACTATCTGGAAACACTTCCTCACCCACCCGTAGAATAAATTTCTCCCCTCCGCTTACGACTAATTGGCATAATAATTATACCACTACTCCAAATGCAAATTGTACAACGTGTCACCCTGAAAACAATTCATTGTCTATTTCTTCCACAGCCATGGAAATCATTTCATTCTTGGTGTTCCAAAACAGCAAGGACAGCAGCAAAAAGTTCACTGCTGACTTTGTGCAAAGCCAACAACAAATACGCTGCTTCCAGCTCTCCAGAAGAATCCAGGCTTATATTTGTTATCATCAACTCTCAGTTGTCCTCTGGTGACATATGTGGGCTGTGAAGGAGCCCTATCTTGGCCTCAGAAACAGCTTGGGCCTGGCAAGGTTATCAGAGGAGACAAAGCACTACGGACACACAGCTTATGCGGATCCAAGCTAACCCTGCAGTAAGCAGTTTAGCTGCTTTCCCAATGCGCTGAGCCTGAGTTAATGAGGCCCAGGTGGTTTGTTGTCAAAGCAGCCATATGCCCCCACAGGCCCTGCTGAAATGTGCATATAGCCCTGCATTGGAGCCACCCGGGGACTGACACTGCAACAGGGCATTCCAACAGCTCTTCTCCTGGTGCTCACAGCTAACAACTCTTTAACAGCAGGAATCTCTTTTGCCCTAGCTACCATGCTGTGAGCCACACAGCACCAATCCAAGACTACCTGTGATCACATGCACAAACTAAGGAAACAAACAAAAATTGGCACAGCACAGGAGCAGAGCCCAGTTCTGCTACTGGTTGCTCACCAGCTACACCCATAGGAAAGCCTCAGGCTTCTGTAGACTATGCTGCCGACCCATGCTTGAGCTCAATGGTCAGGATAGACAATCCTCTCAGCCCTCAGCCCACTATGCTGAGCCTACAACAATGCACACCATAAGGGAAGATGGAGATGCTATGGGATGGTAAATCATTGGTACAAGACAAGACCAGGAAAAGAGAAAGGAACAAAAAGGCAGTAAGCTCTGTCCAGAAGCCACCATCTGCCCAGTTGTGCCACTATTTCCACTGGATTTACAGTGATGAACAAAACACCACTATGAGGTTTTATTTCTTATACTCAGTTTCAAATCATTCACACCCCAGGAGTTGCTAGGGAACAAGCAAAATTTCTTTCACCTTCACTGTTAGAAAAGCAAGTGGTGGTTTCGGGATCTCCGTATCTGGATGCCCAAAGAAGACAGCATTAATAGTTCCCTCTTCCTCACACTTTGAGGGAGAGTACAAAAGGGCTTCCCATAAGGCAAACCCTCTGCTGTACACATCCTGTGCTTATAAAGGCATCTCATGACTGTTAATGGCAGCTCTTCTGAAAAGCTTTGTCTACACTATGAAATTGTAGAGTAGCAATGAATTCTCAAGGAGTTTTCCTGCTGCAAACTACGGTTTCCAACACAGTCCTATTTACTGACACTGCCAAGACTTCCAGAACTGCTATAATACATACATACCTATATATAGATATGTTAAATATATATATATGCGCGCGCACACACACACACAAGCATATACATATATATATATATATATAAACAGTCTGTATTAAGTTTTAGGGGAAATACTTCCAGTCAGGATGAGCAAAGCAGCATTATGCAACAGTCCGGGGCAGCAATTTACTACATCTAACTGAAAAAGAGTAAAGCGAGCAGAATATATTTATCCAAAACCAGTGCTTTGCCCATTTTAGCTGCCAGAAGCTTCCACTGAAAGGATTGTTCCAGAATTGCCAGCAGCCATAAATCACAGGGATTCAAATTTGCATTTTCTCTGACGCAACCCAAAATATGCTCAGTCATGCCTCAAGCAATGATGCAAGCAAGTTTGCACTTGAAGAAGTCTGAACACTTGTCAGACAGGTTCAGTACTTCTTAAACCAGCAGTGCAACTTCACCAGGCTGTGTGTTCCTTTTGGCTTTATTCTCTATCTGCAAGAGGTATACCTTCCACAGAGATACTCTACTAGGGGTAAAGCAACAAAACCCTCTGAGGACAGCTTACATAAAGGAAGAGAATTACAGATAAATCAGGAAATTGCCCCCAAATAAGGGAAAACAGCTGTTAAAATAGGGCAACACTGAACCAAAGCAATGCCACTGCTAACAGTCAGTAAAGAGTTGGTTCTGAGCCCAATCCAACTTGTTATATCACTCAAAGTGATAACTTCTAAAATAAAACAAACTCTAGAGAACAAACAATCAACTTGAGGAATATGCTCATTTCAATTTGTTTTCAAACACTATGGATTTGTTTACGGGAAGATCAAGATGTCTAAATGACTGAGTAAACCAAAACACTCACAGTTTTGTACAAGCATGACTAAGTTTGTTTCTGGGAGAACAGCAATTTTGTGCATCATGTTCTGAGCCAAGCTTGTAAATTAGAACTTCCTAATGATTTCAGCTGAATTAAAAAAAAAAAGACAAAAAAAACCCCAACATCCTACTTGAAAACAAGTGGCACTCTCTGGGCTACATTACCTGCAGCACTGTGATCAGTGAGGTTTACTGTGATGTTCTTTACCAGCAGTTTCAGTTCATGAGCCCTTGGAGGTTTAGGTGGACTGGTGCCCTGAGGGATAGTGCTTGTGTTCTGTACATTCTGGGAAAAGGAAAACAAGAGGGATGGAGCATACCCAAATGCTTAACTTCTGTCACATTAATATTAGGGAGTAGGTGTGATTTGGAGAAACATCCACAAATAGTCACATGGGAGTTATAATCACAAAACCTTCACAGCCAAAGGCTGTGTTGTTTCAAAGCAAGTGTTCCAGTTGTATCTGACCACTGAGTGGTGTTAAATGTACTGGTTTCTGGGTCATAAACAGCTAAAAAAAAAAAAACGCTACAAAGAAGAGACTTCCAAAAGATCCAGGTAGGAATAGGACTTACCTGAACCTCCTTTATGTCTGTAGGTCTTGTACTCAACACTACAGATGGAGTAACTGAGCTGAAGAGGTTCTTCAAAACATCTCTGAGTGTGTCAGATATTGCACAAGTCCCTTCTCCCTGTTCCTAAAAGGAAACCAACAATCATGCTGCTCAAAATTCAGGAAAGTACAAGTTAAGGCAGAAAAAAGTTAACCTGGCACATCCGAACCACCAAAGCAATTGCCAATTACCTTTGTCAGAGAGAAACAGTTTATGCTTCCAGCAACAAAACGTACTAGGAGATTGTGCAAATAATTACTTACATTTCTACATTATGCACTGAAGAAAAACTAGAAATGTACACTAACAAAGCTGCGTGCTGTTCTTCAGAGTTAGGAAGGCAGAGCTCTTAGCTACAAAAGTAGGTGTTTCACTAACACTTCATGGTGCTGTTTTAAAGTTGCTGAACTGCTTTGCACTCTGCTGAGAGAGCAGATCAGGTCCCCAGATAAGCAGATAGGCACTGTTCCACTGATTCAATGGGAATTCTGCCAGCCTGCGACAGCTGAGAATGTGCTAATCCTCTGCTGCGCTGAAGAGTTGTTACAGCATCTCTCGGAGGTCTTCAGCCTTGCTGAAAAATGCATGGAATGGATAGACAGTCATGCCACTCCAAGGGACTGACACATTTGCCTACTCAAAAACCCTGTGGTCATCTGTATTACACACTGCCTGCTTGCATACTTCCTCACTGGAACATCAGAACTTGTCACAGATCTTGCTTCCGTGTGGCTTCACAGGAATAACTGTAAGGCATCTGAAGAGAGTGAACCATTCAACCCATCCCCATAATCCTCGTGGCATGCTGCTGGAAAGCTTTCCTCTGCTCAGTTACCTACACAGGAATGAATCTTCAAATGAAGATGTCAAGAAAGGGCAGTTTGAAGCTACCTTTGCTGTGGAGACAGCCCAGGAGAAACCTCCATGAGATTTGTTTTCTAAGGAAAAGATTGACTTGAATGACAGAGGACTCATCCACCCTTTCTAACTTGTTACCACAAATGAGAAATTTCAGCGTTATAGAACAAGGCTTTCAAACGAAGGGGACTGACTTACAGATACTGAATATCCAGGCAAGTGCAATAAACATGCAAAGCAGAAAAAGAAGCACCCCTGCATAGGTCTGTCAGATGGGAGCAGTCCTCCAGCAAGCAGTGCCAACAAAGCAGGCCCAGCTGCAGAAGACAAGGTGCACTGGTGACAAGGACACACAGTTTGTACCAGCGGGAAGATCAGGCAGGGAACTGAAGGCCTAATTCCTGCAGATTATCTTGATAATGCTTAGGCTGTGCAGCATCAGCTTCCAGCATTTCCATCAGCTTAAGCAGACCCACAGGACTGTAGCAGCTCAAGTATCAAGCTACAGCCCTGTCAACACAGCAGAGTGGACATGCTGCATCACCCTCCTCTATTGGAGCCATACCCCTCTGCATGCAGAGCCCTCTACCAGATTTTGTCACTCGCAACCCTCAGTCCTCTTTTAATGCACGTGAAGTCATTTCTGCACTCCTACAGGGATGCTTGAAGCTTGTGCAGCAGGTCAAACCAACCTGGAGCAACACCCCTTTCCCAATTCCTCAAGTGTTATAGAAACAGCCCAAGTGTTTCGTAAGAATCCCAGGAATGCTGCATACAAAAATCCTTTTGCACCACCTCCTCACGCACCCACCCCTTGATGATATGCAGCTACTGATGAAAACCTGCAACAATATTGGCTAATTCCTCAGCAACTTTGCTCTGTTCACACTGTGGTCCCCAACGCAACTGCTAAAGAAAGAGGCAGAGGCACATTCCTACAGCTTCCAAAGCTTTTGCTTTTAAAAATACTGAAAATATACTTGTTTCAGTAACTTTCTTTTTCTGAGATACTTAAATATGCAGATAAATCATTGGTTGTTCTCACTGTTTTGGGGGTGACTCCCTTCCCCTGCCCTTACCTACACACTGCTGGATGAAGAATGATGCCAATTTGCACAATTCCAGCCAACCCTCACGCTGCCACCAACCAAAACTGGTATTAGTTGTTTTGTAATAACAGCAGCAACAGCTGTCATTGGGCTTCTATTGATAGGTGTTTTCTGTTGTTTTTCATCAGCAGAAAATAGGTTATTATATCCCCTTGTTCGACTGACGACAGAAGTATTGCATTGATAACCATCAGCAAATAAAGATGTCAATTTGTATATAAAATACCTCCTCCAAAGGAGAAAAAAAAGAACTACAAACTAGGACACAAAAGCTGATGTTAAAAGTTTAAGAGCTGAAGGAGTTACCAGGGGTAGGTTGCTCCTTGTTTTATTCATTAAAGAGCTCTGTTTGTCACCTCCCCGCTTCCCGGAATGCTAACACAAACTTCAAAGTGAAAAAGAAGCCCTTAAGTAGTAACAACTTAACAGGCTCATTTTAAAAATCACAGGCAAAGCACAGAAGGTTACAACTGCTTTGTCACTCGTTGTTTTCAAAAAACAGGCTTTGAAGGCCTGAGACAGTGCCAGACTCATTTGCACGTGGCAGTGAATACTTAGTGCTTGTTCATAAGTGGACAATCAGCACGCCGCTCCAACACGTGCAGGTCAGTTGCACGCACATTACTATGATATTACATTTTAATTAAAGCATTAAAACACACTTCAAAAGACTTGCCTGTCTTCAGTTTTATGAGCTTAGCATTTTTGTGTACAAAAGCTGCGGTAATAAATTTTTATGATTCTAGGTCACTCAGCTACGAGTTTTCAGTAGCAGCTTTACCATCACAGCCAGTACTGAAGGCTGAGCTTCTGGGAAGGCTCTCTGCAGAGAAGGACTTTCTGGACAAGCTGATCACAAGCCAGTGATAAACCCTTGAGACCAAGAAGGGTATCCTGGGGTGAACTAGAAAAAGCATTGCTAGCAGGCCAAGGGATGTGATCCTTTCCTTCTACTCTGTCCTGATGAAGTCTCCTGGAACACTGGCTCCAGTTCTGGGGTTTCCAGCACAAGAAGGATATAGACATACTGGAGAGAGTCCAGCAAAGGGCTACTAAAATGATGAAGGAACTGGTGCACCTCTCCTACGAGGAAAGGCTAAGGGAGCTGGGGCTGTTCAGCCTGGTGAAAAGGCTCAGGGGATCTGATCAAGGTGCTGGCAAGAGGATAGGGCCAGATGCTTCTCAGTGGTGCCCAGCAAAAGGATGAGAGGCAACAGTCACAGACCAAAACAGGCGGTTCCAAGCAAACATAAGGAAAAAATTACTTACTGTGATGGAGCTATGGCACAGGCTGCCTAGAGAGGCTATGGAGTCTCCTCATTGGATATCTTCAGAATTTATGTTTCTAAATAACTTATTTCCTTAAACATTTGTGTTTTTCTGAGCTGTTTCTGAATGAGGGCTATCAGATTTCAAAACTAATTAAGTTAAGGCAGGGTAAACGACTTTGATGGGAACATAATCACAACTTTTTCATTATATTAGAAGAGCTCTGAAGACTTTTAGTAACAGACATTTTTCACATCTTTGAACTTGGTCAAAAATATTTGCCAGGTCACTTGTCTGTCAAACACAGATTTATCTTTAATGCTTCAGTAATCTTGAGAGTTACTCTTTGACTTCAGAGATGCAGGATTTTGATGGATGAGGCATGGCAAGTATCACTGAAGCAGTTCAAGAAACCACTGCCAATAAATAACTGCCCCATTCCACTGCTAAATGCAGTCAGCAGAAAGGAACAGGCATTTTTGCTTCAGTTGTTCCAGCATCATCCAGTATCTTAGCTCTAGCTACTGTTATTGCTAATCTAATGCACTGCACTGGGTTTTGCACTGGAGAGATGCTTTCTGACTCCTTGAGCAGAGGGACAAGAGTGCCTACGGGGGGAGCAGCAGCAGTAAGGTATGGCAGAACAGAAGTCCTCTCCCAGTCTAACTGTATCCTTACATTTGAACTTTCACTATGACACATAAAACTTACTGACTGACCTCCTGCACTGTTGGCTGGATTTCAAAGTTGGTCTCATCCACGTTAACGAGGAGCCACTCCACTTTGACATCATCCCCTTTGTCTTTCACATAGAGGTGAAGCTGTGGATAGGAAAGCAGTTATTGGAGTGTGTTCTGATATCCTGTAAGGAAATTTTAAGTCAAGCTCCAAACTAAGGCTTGCCAAAGGAAAAAATAACAGTTTCTGAGTTGGTATACATCCAAGCAACAGTGTAAGAAAGCAAACTAAATACCAAGAGAGAGCGCATGCCAGCCAAAAAGGGTACTGCTGTTCTACACATCACGGCAGACTATTAAAAGATTTATTTATTTATCCACAGTCTTCCTAAAGCAGAAGACAGAACTGTAACATTATTAAATGTTTTACTAGAATTAACACAAGCTTGTATGCATTTTTGCATGCAGGAAGTGAAAACCTAACACACCTTCCAGACCTTTCAGCTGAGCTGTGGGATGAAATGTAACAAAAGGAAAAAGAGAGAATAATACTTAAGAGGCCTTACCTGCAAGTGAAGCGGAGACAGTTTCACGCTGTACGACCGACTTCCTGCAGCTGTGGGTGAAGAGCTTGAGATGCTGACAATAAACGTAATGGAATCTCCCACAACATTACAAGAAACCACCTAAAGAAATTAAAGGGAGGAAAAAAGGAAGGAAAGAACAATTCAGCCTTCAGAAGAACAAGAAAGGAAGGTAAAGGCAAGAAAAGAACTATTAAAAAAAAAAAAAGAAGGACTTTAAGCTACTACAATTATGCTATATTCTGCAAATGGGAGATTTCCAGTCAGTTTCATTAACCCCCTACACTTCCTTCTACATGCTCTGTTCTAAAACCTGCATTTCAGCTACACTTCTGGACACAGAGGTTAATACCTGGCAATACTGGTGATTTCCAAGAATTTTTTGTGTCACTGGATATAATTCAGTTTTTTCTCCTTCCTCTCCTGCTACAAACCAAGCATCGTATCACAGGACAGCTGGTTTCACCAAACATTTGGCTTGTAAAAATGAACTGTACAACATTTGTTTTAGTGGCATTCTACAAATGAGAAACTTTGGCATAAGGCTGCTGCTTCTGGAGAGGATACTGACTGAGTAATTCCAGTGGGGTGGTGACAGGCAGAAGACTTGAGAAGTCTTTGACCCAGGAGAGCACTGAAGTTTGGTGGTGAAGCTAAATGTGTGGGACAAGCTCATTTGCTACTTGACTGCTATGTGCTCACTTAAATACACACCCTCAGTTTTATAAGCAGCAATTTAACTTGTTATCACATTGAGTTTACACTGAGCATTTTTCTCCTCCCTTCCCTCAAAAGCCAACTGAGTTTGCAGAACTGCTCAAAAACCAAGAAGGCGCAGAAAGCACCTGGCAGCAGAGAAAAGGCCCAGAAGCCACAAATCATGCATTAAGCCAAAGAGAGATGCTTTGCTAACAGCCTTGCTGGTTGAAGACACCTGCTCGTTGCTGCTCCCCCATGGTTAGTGTCCCCACAGCTCCACCACTGGAAAGGTGAGTTAAACATTCCATAGATGGACTCAGGCAAAGTTAACCATGTTAATGCAATGCACAGACAAATCATTTGCTGCAGGATCTGTTTGACAGAAACTCTGTGCAAATGCTAGTAAATTATATTTGTGCACTTATTGTTTCACTTATGCACACTGGATTGGAAGCTGAAGGCTTCAACATGAGTCAGGTACCCTCTGAAAGATCCTTATCAGTCTCTCCTTAAATGCAGTCCATCTCCAAGGACTCTACACACTGTAAGAAGCACCAGAGGGCTTCAAAGCACATCTGTGCAGAAATTACAAAGGAGCAAGTGGACAGAGTGGACATGGCAAATAACAAACCTAACCGCACCTAGGAGCAACAGGAGTTGCAGAAGCTGTGTCTTGCAAACCACAGCTGGGAGGTGGACATGTCTGCCTTCCGCACCTCTTTCCCAAAAGCTAAATTCCCTCTAAGTTGATTTATGTTCCTTAATCCCACATAATCAACATAAGCAGCCACAATTAGGACACAGCAGAAGTTAGTTAACAACTAACTTCAGTTAAAAACCTTGACTGCTCATTTTACTTGTAATTGAGTCAAAATACAGAATACAATTTATTAACAAAGAGAATGGATTGATGTGGCTTTTCCTTAAGTACAGCAAAAGTAGGCAGCTTCTTTTATCTTTTTGAGCTCAAAAAGAGGGAAGAAGACAGGCGTGATACAAAAAACACTGACACTTGCATATCCTAAGCACAGAGCTTTACCACCCATAAGCATCTGATCCATGCATGCATGGGAAACTCAGTGCCTTTGGAACAAGTTGGACTTGCTGCACACGTGATGCAGAGCCACACGTCTGGAATTTCGGGAGGCCTAAGAGGCTGGGTTGCCACGTAAACAGGCAATTACTGCTTTAAAAACAAACAAACAACACAAGGCTGGCAGGAGGGTTGGCAGCTGTGTTCACGCGCTACTCTTTTTCTCAGGATGTGTTTATTTTCAAGTAAAAGATGGAAACAGAGAGCCTGCAACTGCTACTTCCCTTCTAAAGTGACATTCCTTTAGAAATGCAGCAGATGCTTTTGATAGACCTCTGCAGAAATATGTAGGCCATTTGAGTGCCCCTCCCCAAACACTAACACGAAGAAAAACACTGAAGCTTCCTGTGCTGGGCTCCTCTTTCCCCATAGCCCTATTCAATCTGCCTCTTCAGATTCTTTATCTCAGAGCAGGTGAAGAGCAGTCATCAACAAACCCAAACTCATTCTTATCCTGTGAAGCTCTAATTAGAGACAAAATGCATTTGCTAGCAGCAGAGGAGAGGGTCAGGTGAAGCACCCTTTTCTGGCTGAGAAAGGACAAATACGCATGAGAAAACAGATGGACTGGTAAGCTGCCCTTCGACTTCATTTATCTTCTTAGTCTCTTTCCCAATACTCCATGAAAGAGACACCTCATCATCAACCTTTTGTTTTCAATGGAGGCTAGAAAATCTATAGTTTCTATGACAAACTTTCTTCCAAAATGAAGCCTTTTGTACCACCACAGCAACTGTGGCTGGCTAAGTGGACTCCCAGAAAGTTTAGATGTCACGGAATCACAGAATGGCCTGGGTTGGAAGGGATCTCAAGAATCATGAATCTCCAACCTCCCCACCACATTCAGGGCCACCAACCTCCCCATTTAATACTAGACCAAGAAGTCATTCTACTGTCTTGTAGCTAGACAAACTACAAGCTTCTACATGAGCAGAAATAGAGTGAAGTGAAGCAGCAGCAGCAGCAGCACAACACCAGGACTCTTCCAGCAGCAAGACCGAGGTGCCTTCTCTCCCTACAGTATCTCCCCATTCACAGGCACACTGTCACCAGCAAGGGCGTGCACTTTTGGGATCTTACACACTGCAGAAGTGCTCAGGCCTTTCTCTAAAACTGTTTATACAGTTTTCCTAAACAAACAAACAAACAAAAAAACAACCAACTCTGTTCTAGGTAAACTTCAGAAAAGAATATGTCTGGAAAAGTATTCTAGTTGGAGAAAGACAGAGATATTTTCCTAAGCAACTGAAGTGTCTGGACATGTGTTCTCACAGCTGTTGAAGACCTGTCTCCTTGCTCTGCCCTCCCTCTCCGTATCTTAATTTCACGGTTCCTCTGGACAGAACTGAAACATTTCATGTGCTCTTCCCCCTGAAGTGGCAGCAAAGCTACTTCAGTTCAAGAAGAACCAGAATACCAATGCTTGTCAGAGGATTAAGAGGTTTCACTTTTGGAAGTAGCACCACGCAGATTCATGCTCTCACCAAATCATTTGATTTGGAAGGGACCCTTAAAGACCATCTGATCCAAGCCCCTTGCAATGAACAGGGACACCTACAGCTACATCAGGTTGCTCACAGCCCCCTCCAGCCTGACCTTGAATGTCTGCAGGGATGGGGCACCCACCACCTTTGTGGGCTGCCTGTGCCAATGCCTCACCACCCTTATTGTAAAACAATTTTTCTTTACGCAAAGCCTTTCTGTTACTCCTCCACATCAGACTTTCTCCCCCATTTCTCCGTGCAGGACAGCAGTCCCTTCTGTGGTAAAGGGAATGGTGAATGGCTGTGAACTTCTTCAAGAACTTGAAGGAAGTTCTTAGAGCCCAACAGAGGAAGTCCTCCACCTTCCTCAAGCAGGACTGTATCACATGGGTATGTAAAACTCCCAGCATTATCAGCTCAATTGTTTTTTGGACAGAAATCAGCTTTACTGCATTTTGTTTCCAGAAAGAGAAAGTTACCCGAGGTTGCAAAATACATATCAGCAGCATGTAAGTAATCAAAAATTAATACAAATGCAATATCATGAAGCAGCCACAGAGTAAAAGCTGCCTTAACCTCAGCTGCAGGGATCAGGATGCTATAAGATTTGGGAGCTCCACAATTTCCATTTATTTTTTTTCCTCTGAGGTATTACTGTGAGAAAGAGAAGGTTCTTTTCTGGCACAGGAAGTTTCTCTTGTCAATGTCCGCATGGATAAGTTTGCATGATTAATGTATAACCTCTCCATGATAAAACCTTCCAGTCAGAAACTTCTGTCTTTTCGTAATCATTACACTCAGCTACTCAAAAGAAAAATTAGACCACCTGCTTTGGCAACCTGAGCCCATTGATTGGCTTCTTAAGGGGCTTTCTGTAGCTCCTATACAGCTCCCTCTTGACCCAAGTAGTTTGCTACATGACACAAACAATATTGAGAAGGGAAGAGGAGAAAAGGCAATGTCTAACACAGGCACTGCTTCAAGAAGATTTTTAGAAGCTAGCATGAAAGCAAGCGTGCCTGCAAATATAATGAGACAAATTCAGGGCAGCTCTTCAAAATGATGATAAGCTCTAGGGTGAAGGCAGGGTGATGGAACGGGTGCACAGAAAAAGGAGCTACAACAGAAGAAAAACAAAAACAGGTATACTAAGTGATTTCAGTCATTCTTTTGTGAGTGATAGACATGCAAATTAAAAGAAGTAGAGAAAAAGGAAGGGTTAAAAAAAGCAATTATCAGGGAATACAGTCAGACAGGAGAGGGAGAATTTTCAGTGAGTCTACCAAACCAAGTGAGTTGGATGGTGGGAGGACAAGAAGCAGTATCTATATTTAAGAAGGGGGAAAACAAGTAGCAGAACAAGACTAGGTACTTTGGCCTCACTAACACACAAATCTTTGCAAAGAGCTTATTCAGCATAGATGAAGAGACAAATGAAGACAGCAAAATTCAAGAGGTCTGCCAGTTTGCATGTAGTGCCACTGTGGACACTGGGTTACTGCTGACACTTGAACCAGGCTGGTGAACGGGGCTAAAGCCTGAAGGAGGACCATGCGCATCTGCAGCAGGCTGTCTGACAGGGCCCAAACCAGTAATTATCACCACTGAAGCAAACAAATTCCAGCACAGATGCCTCCTTTTGACAAGATACTCAGTTTCAAAGTAGGTTAGATCAGCTATGTTGTTGTCTTGCCTATTTTAATTGGGACACCTATTTCCAAAGTTTAACAGTAGGAGAAAGTGAAGAAAGCTGAAAACCTTGAAGAAAGAAATGCAACTCAAAATACAAAGCATACATGCTAGAATTAAGAAGAACTCCCCTCTATAGGAGCAGTATGTCTCTAAGAAAAAGCCATGACCTGCAAGCATGAAGTCAACAATGTGAAGCAGCCAAAAGAGAGGCAGGTCAGAACCACAGTACTGTAGGGGTTGGAAGGGACCGCTGGAGACCACCTAGACCGGCCCCTTGCTAAAGCAGGTTCCCTGCAGCAGGTCATACAGGAAAACATCCTTAAAGGCATTGAGAGCACTGCCAAGAAGCACAGCAAAGCAGACATCTCAACACACTGTGAGACTTCATTGTAGCGCCATTGCACTTCAGTATCACATTCAAGAATGAATCCAACTGGAGCAGCTGCAGAGAGGGACACGCATGAGGGACAAGCAAGGCAGCACTGAGAAAAGAGACCTGAGGAACAACTTCTTTAGCTCAGTCAAACAAAGACTGGAAGGAAATGTAACTCCCTTGTGATATACCCATGGACAGCAAGTGCTGAGGGAAAAAGTGAATACATTCGAGATAAAGGATCATGCTGGTACAGGAAGAAAAAAATATAAATAAATGCAAAAGCTGCGTGGGCCATGATTCCAGTTAGGATTGTGGAAAAAAAAAAAATAAAACACAAACAATACAATCATTAAAGCAGCAAATCCCTGGGACAGCTTCCCAAGCAAAAGAAGGAGTTAAGGAACAATACAGATTGCACGTGATGGTCAGGGTAGTGCAGTCCACCACAAACAATCAGAGATAAACACATGTACATAACAGGGGATGAATACAGTTAATGCTCCAGCATTCAGGATGAGAAAGCAGACCTTCCTGGAGAGGAAAGCAGCCACTGCACCAAACTGCCCTCGTGGGCTTTGAAACAAGGGGAGCTGGGGGGCTCTGCACCCCAGAGTGGTGCTGGATGGGAACAAAGCAGCAAAGACACACAGCCAAACGAGCTGTCACACTGCACAGCCTGTCTCAAAATGAGACCTCACATAAGGCCACAAAGCAGCCCTCCTTCTGCTCCACCATTTGCCTCATGGAATTCATAATAGAAAAACTGACACAAAGTTTTACTATCTGCTCTTGCCTGTTGAGCTGCAGGACAGCTACTCCTTCCGCAGCAGCTCTTTACTACTGCTTATCAAAGGAAAAGCAAACTGTGGGCACTCAGAGGGCTTCTTCCCCTCTTTGTTTAAGCATGAAGCAGGAGGAAGGGGAGGACTTCTGCAGTTTAACAGTCGGGAAACAGGCAAGTCTGCTCTGTCCAAACCCCTCCGTGCCAAGCTCCCAACAAGAGAGTCATCTCCTCTGCTGCCTTTTAATGCTGCTGGGAAGTTCAAAGCTTCTGGAAATAGATTCTGGTAACGGAAAGGTTGGCAGAAATAGCTGAGAATATTGCAAATGTTTATTTTATTGAAACAGAACAGTCAGCCCCACACAATGAAAACAGCCTGCTCCATTCTACATATTTAGGCTCTGACCCAAACCTGGAGCGAAGACTACAACCAAGCAGAAGCTCTGCCCAGGGGCAGTGTGATGCCACCTTCCTGACAGAGCAGCTCTGGTGTATCAGCATTGGCATGCTGTGGAATGTTCTACAGCCTCCAGCTCCTTCAGCACAAGCACAGCTGTGCACACCTAAGGGCCAGATGTGTCAGCGTGTGTCCTGGTCACAAACAAGGCTGTCAGCAGCAATGCAGAACTACAGCAGGCTGGCAATCTCCTGTCAGCTCAGTGTGGCTGTGTACCAGGCACGAGGCTGCTCCCAGCACCGTGCAGTACATAGGAGCACAGACTGCTCCACAAAGGACAAGTACCACAGGGCTCCATAAGCATGCACCCACCTGCATTAAAGTGTTACACTCCATAGAATCATTAATGTTGGAAAAGACCACTACGATCATCTAGTCCAATCACCAACCCACCACCACCACAACCACTAACCATGTCCTTCCCACATTTACTGCTATTTTCATCCCTCACCCTCAGTCCTCTGCTTCCTTTGATAACCACAACCTCTCCAGTATAGAGTCTTAAAAAAAACTTATTTGAAGCAAAGTGCAATAAATCTACTTTGGCTGCTGAGCAAGGTGCCCATACACTCACCACCTTGATCACAAGTGAAGAAGCAAGCCAAACCAGTTACAAGACAACAGCCCCGTGTCAGGCAATGGCCCAGGCACGTGCTGATCTCTAAGGGATGCTGCAACATTGGTAAGCAAGCAGCATGTAGTCACTAGCCACAAGCAGAGTCAGCTGCACCAATAGTAAGCCACCAACATAGGATTACAGAATGGTTTGGGTTGGAAAGGACCTTAAATATGATCCAGCTCCAACCCCCTGTCATGGGTAGGGTTAACATGCATGAGAAGATTGTGTCCAGACAAGCTGATAAGGGAGATTTCAGTTTCATTTTGATTTTTTTTTTTTTGGAAATACTTGCAGAGATTAAGGGTTTGAAGTGCAAGAAAAAAGGAAAAACATGAAAGACTTTGATGCTCAGTATTACCCAAGGAATATGTAAGCAAAACAGTGAGACTATGAGAGAACTCCTGGGGTGTTTGGAGGCAGGTACACATCAGAGTGCCACTCTGAGGTTATTACATACTGAAATAAAAATAAATTATTCAGCTGTACCTTAACTGAAGGAATAGGAATCATTCAGAGAATATTTCCCAGCAGCTGTGCACAAGATTATGGAAACAGGTTTTGGGGGAATTCAGAACCACCCAATTACGTAAGCAAAACTCTCTTAATCCAATACGTTTTTAAATGTGCTTATATTGCTTTAAGCTGCTGCGAAACCACATCAGATTGCTGGCTGCAATACTAACAGCTTGATTAACATACCGAAATGGCTCAACCCAAGGTCAGACAAGGCAGGAGGGAGGGTGCCAGGACACAAGGCCCCTGACAGAGGAGAGCAGGAGCCCAGCCGCACCACAGCCAGTGTTGCCCAGCTCCTGCTGCCCATGTTACCACAGCTTTGCCACAGCAGCACCAGGCCCCACAGACAGGAGAGTGCCATTGGGGCAGGAAGCATTACTATGAAAGCGAAACATTGGAGAAAAAAAAAAAAAAAAAAAAAAAGAAAAAAAGAAAAAAAAACAGAACTATGGCTGGAGAACAAGTGCACAAAGAGCTTTACATGTTGGCAATCCCCAGCTGCCACCAATCAGGGTGTGACTGTAAGTTGGGTATCAGACAGATAAGCATGCATAATTTTCAAAGGAATCATAGCAGAACTGCTTAACATCTAAATGAGACAAGCAAACTAATATAAATAAGGAGAATTAGAAGAAAAGTAATGGGTTAAATTGATTCAAAGGCCTGAAGCTGAGCTAACAGTCATTGGCTAATAGTTACTGAAAACAAGATGGAAATACAGGAGCTATCAGTGCCAACCAGCACACACACACTCCTTTCCTCTTAGTGCATTTGTACATTGATATGAGAGCTACATTCCACCATGTTCTAATACTGCCCATACTCAGCATGGACACTTCCCAATATGCACTGTGGAGGTGGGAGAAGAAGGACAAGGCAAGTCCTCCTCAGGAGTCACCTGGAGTACTCAGCATCTGCCACACTGACCCTGTGCGGCTGGGAGCCAGGAAGCAGGCCTGCCTCAGCCACAGCACAGCAGAAGGCAGGCAGGTCTTTTAGCCCCAGGGCATTTCCTCGTGTATGAATCTCCAATCTCAACAACAGGACTGGGAACTAGAATGGCAGTAGGAGGACATGGAGGCGTTTCTAACAGCTTGGTGCAGCCCTGGCTGTTGCTCATTTGGCAGAAGCCCTGCAGTGCTTTGCTCAAGGCTTGCTCAAGAAGTGAATCAATGCAAAGAGGTCCCTTGGAGGCCCTTGAAGGTCTGAAACCAACCTTCACTAACTTAGGCAATGAAGAATAAAACTCCCACTGACGCTCAAACCAAATTGGCATTTCCTACTAAAAGTACCCTGAAGCACAATAAAGATGAAGTTTACCTTCTCTTGAACAGACTTCACCACGCTAACAACTTGTTTAACTGTGAGCTCAAGTGGTTCTGCTGGGTCATCTTCCTCAAATGTCAGCAGCTGTGAGTCCTAGGGAGGGAAAGAGGAACACTGTCAGATGATGAACCTACCCCTTGGAGATGAGGGATGAAAATACAAGGGAGAGCCTGAAAACCTGCACTTAGGGCTCACATCTAGACCCAGCTGCACCTCAGCTTCCACAGAACACATAGATTTGTATGAGTTGGAAGTGTCGCATAAAGGCCATGTGATCTAACTACCCTTCCAATGAACAGGGACACCCCTACAGCTACATCAGGTTGCTCAGAGCCCCAGCCAGCCTGACCTTGAGTGTCTCCAGGGATGGGGCATCCGCTGCTTCTTTGCGTAACCTGTGCCAGTGCCTCACCACTCATACTGTACAAATTTTTTCCTCATGTCCAACCTAAATCTCCCCTCTTTCAATCTGAAACCATTTCCTCTTGTCCTGTCACAGCAGACTCTGCTGAAGAGCCTGTGCTTTTCTTTCTTATGGCTTCCCTTTAGATACAGAAAGGCCACTTCCATGTCTCCCCAGGTCTTCTCTTCTTCAGGCTGAACAGCCCCAGCTCTCTCAGCCTGTCCTCATAGGGAAGTGTTCCATCCCTTAGATCGTTTTTGTTGCCCTCCTCTGGACACACTCCAACACCTCGATGTCTCTCCTGTACTGAGGACTCCCCATCTGGATGCAGTGCTCCAGCTGAGGTCTCACCAGTGCAGAGCAGATAGGCAGCATCACCTCCCTCACCCTACTGGTCACACTTCTTCGGATGCAGCCCAGGACACGGCTGGCCTTCAGGGCTCCCGCTAGGCACACACTTGCATTAGGCCATGCCAAAACTACCAAATCCCCAACACTCAGCTCGACGAGATGGGGAACGAGCCCCTCCCCGGCCGTCGCTGTAAGGGGACACGGGCAGCGCTGACAGCCGCTCGGGGCACACAGCAGTTTGTGCGGCGAGGTGAGGCTGCCTGAGCCACCAGCGCACCGCCGCCTTGTGAGGAGCGGGGTGCCACGCCGTGAGCTCACGGCAAGGAGCTGCTGCGGCGGGGCGTGCGCCGAGCCACACCGGGACGCGGGCCTCCCGCCTGCAGCCAGCGTTGGTCGCGGGCCGGGCTGCATTGCTCTCCTTATCTCTCACGCACACACTGCCCGGCTCTTCCTCCTGCCCCCAGCCTTCTCTCCGGGGCCACAGGCTATATCAGACCTAGAGAGGCACGCACAGCGCTCCCCCCAAAACGGACGCCCTGAGGGGCAGCAGCACGCCGCCCACGGCCCGCTCCCACGCCCCCCTCTGCCCCCCCCCCGCCTCACCTGCGGCCCCGCACTCACCGCCCGCGCCGCCGCCTCGCCGCGCAGCGCCGCCACCCAGGCCCGCCGCCACTGCCGCCGCCAGCTGCCCAGCGACAGCGCCCAGGCCAGCGCCGAGCCGCCCTCCTCCAGCAGGTCGTCCCGCGGCGCCGCCGGGGGCTGCTGGGGGGACCGCCGCCGCTTCCCCCTCCTCCGCCGCAGGGCCAGCAGCGCGTACTGCACCAGGTAAACGGCCAGCGTGGCCAACGCGGCCACGAAGAGAGCGACCAGCGCGTACCAGCGCAGCTCGGCCAGCCCGCCCGCCGGCCACGCCATGCCTGACCATAATGGGAGCCCCCCGCCCCGGCAGCCGCAGCCCGCGCAGGGCCCAGCCGGCAGCCGCGTCCGGCGGGCAGCACGGGGACGCGCCCCAGCGCCGCGCCGCCCCCGCCGAGCTCAGCCCCCGCCCACGCCGCCGCCGGGCGGACGGGGAGGCAGGGGCCCGGCGCGGAGCTGGCCTGGCGCCGCAGGGAGCGGCTTCACCTGCCCGGTGCCTGCCCGCGGATGTCGGGGTGCAGAAGTGGAGCGGGCGGGCAGACCTGGCGGCAAGTGCTTGTTTGCTCGGTGCTTTCAAGCAGATTCACAGCTGGAAGCAAAGGTTGGAGGAAAACAGTACCGGGAATACAGTACAGAGGCATCGTGCCGCTGGGGCTGGAGGGGCCCTCTGGGTCCATCTGGGCCAACCCCGGCTCCAGCAGGGACACGTAGAGCAGGGTGCCCAGCCCCACGTCCCGTTGGCGTTTGAAGTCTCCGAGAAGAGAACACAGGCTCTGGGCAGCCTGTGCCAGAGCTCCGTCACCCACACAACACAGCAGTGCTGCTCAGGGGGAGCCCCAGTGCTCCAGTTCTGAAAAGACCCTGGTTCTATCTTCTCATGTAAGAGATTTTCCAGACCCTGTCTTGTTGCTAGAAATACTTTACGTTTTTTACTTTGAAACTATAGCAAAGATATGCATTAGCTAATATTTAATTACTTTCCTTTTCCATGTACTGGTGAACTTGGAATAGCCTTCTCTGAGCATCTGGAATCGTACTCATCAAAGTATAGCTTTGGGGATGTGATTAGTGAAGTAATTAGTTGTACTTAGAAGCTGGGAACTGTGATTTTGCCTTGCTACTAGGCTGTCTATTAATCAAGCCTTGTATTTCCCAAATCCCATCTTTCCTTTTAATTAGAAAGTACACATCTTTGTTAGTGATTATGTCAAAACAAGCTTGAAATAATATGAAGCAAGTAAGAATAGTAAAGAGTTGATCATAGAATCATAGAATATTCTGAGCTGGAAGGAACTCACTAGGGTGATTGAATCCAGCTCCTGGTTCCACACAGCACCATCCAAAACTCAAGCCGTATGTCTGAGAAGGTGTCCAGATGCCCCTTGAACTCAGGCACTTGGGGCCATGCCCACAGCCCTGGGCAGCCCGTTCCATGCCCACCGCCCTCTGAAGCAGACCTTTTTCCTGATCTTACAAGGATTCTGGAAAAAGAGAGTTATAAAGGCATCGTTCATCACAGTTCCCTCACATATCCAATTTTGGTCCTTTGACGTATGAATTCTCCTACTTTGTTAGAAATGCAAGAAGAAAACTGCCTACCTAGAACAGGTTTCTAGTAAAGTTACCCCAGGCAAATGAGCAACAATACTATATCTTACCTGCTGGCTTCACCATACATCTGACTTTCCAGATATGCTGTTTTCCACCGACAGACAGAATAAGGGCAGTATCTTAGGACCTCGAGTGCATGTTTGAAATTTCCAGGTCTGTTGCAGGTGGAAGGAACAGTGGTTAGGGCCTGGCATAGGGAAAGGTGGGAATGGCATGTGCCCTGATGAATGGTGAATTGGTCCTGCCCTGCCTTGGACTGGGACACAGCAGAGTGTGCACTCAGATGGAGGACCTGGAAGGTGACCCTGAGTCCTGTGGTGCAGATGTAAGTAGAGGGCAGATGAGATCATCGTTTTTTTCGTCAATCTCAGTTTTAAATCTGTAAGTAGAACAAAAAACAACAACAAACAAAACCCATCCCACAAACCAAACAACATCAAAAACCAAAAACATGCATGCACACAAAACCAACCAAAAACAATCAAAAAACACCACCAAAACTGTAGGCTCAATTACTGCAATTAAATGACCACTTACACAACTGCCATAAACTTACACAACGGATAAAAACAATTCAAAGTTCCCACTAACTCTCCGTCTCTGAGCTCGAGATTATTTTTACACAGATGTAAGAAAGAAAAGATTCAAATGAGGCTCCTCTTACAGTCTAACATGAAATATGAAGCAAAGGGTTTTGTCAGGACAGTACAAGTGTAAGAGGATCTTATTTGGCAAAGCTGCACATTGCCCAGCAAGACTTTTTTCCAGCAACCCAGGACGTGGTGGGGTACCATTCTCACTGTAACATGCCTATAACCATGTCTTCCTTAGGATTTTGCTAGCCCAGCAGTCAGCCTGAAATGAGAGTACTTCATGCTTTCCACTGACAGCTCCACTAAGAGAGGTAGGCCCATCCATTTTCACATATGAAATGTGACCTCTGGGCAGGTTGCTCGTTCTCATATAAAGAGGACCATCATCTCTTTCACATGTAGCATTTCTACCTCTCTCCCACACTTCTACCAGCTGTGCCAGGGACAGGTGACAGGCCTGAACCTAGTAAGTCTGCTCAAGGGTTGTAGGCAAGGAGAGGCATGATCCTAAAGCTAGATGAGCTCACTAGCATTTTCTCGGTATGCATTTTGACCTACCCTTACTTGTACTCTCCATTCTGCTTTCTGCATCCTTCTTCAAGGTGACATTCAGCTGTTTTGTCTCACGTGGCTTGACACACTAGAAATGTTTCCCCTGCTTTGTGACAGCTCTCTGAGAAAGAGTGATGGTTGTGCAAAGGGCTGGGACAAGGATGGGATGAAATGCCCAGGGAAACCTTGCTGGAAGATGGTCAGCAGTCTGCAAAAAAAGGAAGTGTGACTAAACAAGCTTTAATAGCTAGGTGCTAGCATGGGAGCATGGCTAGCATGGGGCTAGCTGTTGTCTGGGAACAGATCCTCACACCTCTTGAACTGCAGAGGGCATCCTCTTATTTAATAAGGGAGTCATTCTCCATACGGAAGGTCTATGAGATGTTGACATCCTTAGAACTTCAGTTTGACTAATTATTCTTCTTTTTGGTTCTTTTATGAGATCAGGAGATATCCGATCTATTATGTATTGATGCTTACCAATCTCTGCTGACAAAAATGTAATATTTTCACTGTGACCTCAGTAGAAATACTTCATTTAGGTCATTTAGTTCTTCTTTGCTCAAATGCCTACATCTCCTAAGTGCTTAAGAAGGCATAGTGCCAGGAGCTGAGTTTTTCATTTAATCAGGAAATTGCTTTTATAGATTCGTTATTACATATGTTATTAATATACAGGTATAGTCCCAAAAATAAAAAATTGAAAAAACAGCCATGTCCCATTAAATGTAACTGTTAGCAAATTGGCTAAGTTTCAAAACAAAATGTTCACAATGTTATTTTTTGACCAAATGTGATTCCTTTCAATATATGTGTTCAGATATAAAGCAAAGCTATAAAGCCAATGATGGAACTGACTTGGTACATTTTGGATATTTGTTCTTTCTTTGGAAACCATTCACCCTCGAAGAATGATGATAGGGCAAGGTGAAATGGTTTCAAACTGAGAGGGGAGATTTCGGTTGGATATAATGAAAAATGTATTTTACAATGAGGACAGTGAGGCACTGGCACAGGTTGCCCAGGAAGGCAGTAGATGCCCCATCCTTGGAGACACTCAAGGCCAGGTTGGCAGGGCTCTGATGTAGCTGTAGGGGTTCCTGTTCATCACAGTGCAGTTGGACCAGAGAACCTTTAAGTATTCCTTCCAACTCATACAATTCTATGTGATCTTTCGAGGTTGAGGGCCTAGATGTGTGGAAAAAAACCCCACAAAAATAATGGCACTGCCCTGCTTTATTCATCAAAGCATAAGTATTTCCTCTGCTACTTGTAGAAGTCTCTTATAATTTTATCATATTATATCCACTTGTCTTTGTGGGGTTGCACCTTCCCATCATCACAGCATCTGGGTACATAGTCCGTACCAGAGTGATTATGACTCTGTAAAAGGAGCAAAGGTGGATGACAGACATCGTGCCTCAAATTGCCAATCCTTTCTCCTACTATTTGTACCTGGAGATTCAGTAAAAGAAGGAAAGGTATTTCTGACAGTATTGTTTTCCTATTATATTGACCCTTCAGAAAGATGTTTACTACGATGCAGCAGTAAAGTTGGACGAGATGAACTTAGTGGTCTTTCTTAATGATTCTATGAAAGCATCCTGACCTTTTAGAAACTAAAACACGCCGTCGGCTTTTTAGTTTTCTTCTTTATTTTCGTCTGCTGAAGCCAATTACATTCTATCCACCAGAGAGCGCCAGTAGTACCGGAGGTCGGGAAGCTCCGGCTCAGTCGATGGGAGATGGCTGTGCTCGCTTGCAGCACTGTGAGCTGCCTCACAGGAGGCGATGGGTGACCTCAGCTGCACAACGCTCGTGTATGAGGATGCTATGTGTACGGCATAGGCAAAGGTGAGGGACTGGAGTATAAGGAGCTTTTCGGCACTGCTCTTTACGCTAGGTGTGGAGCCAGGAGTTGGTCTCAATCCTTGTGGGTCCCCTTCCACCTCAGGATATTCTATGGTTCTAAGGGAAAAAAATACATATGTATCTTCATTCATGAGTTCACTTTTTGTGCAAGTGTGTCGACTATACATAGGTGTTAAACTACAACTCATCCCCTTATATTTTCTCAGAGAACTGTCTGCACTGCAGAAGCCATTGAGGTAAACTGGCATCTGCCTTGGCAGTCTCAATGGGGGACAGAGACTGAAGAGTTTGGAGATGCACCTCATCTCTCTGCTCCCAGGTTTCACTCGAGCAGAAAATGTTTTGGTTAGTGGAAAAAGTACTGAAGTGGATGGCTTTTAGATGAAAGTCTAAATATAAAGTATTTGACCAAAGAAGGAATTTTCTCCAAACTCAGCAATTGCTGTGCAACAGAGCCAATTTTAAACATATTCACGCTTTTATGTACAAACATACACATATAGAGAGAGGGTCCCCTGTGTGGTGTGTTCTGGTGGAGCTCTTCTGCTGGATGTCACGTTGCAGTCTTTAGTTTCTGGCTCCTCCTAGTGCCCACACAGAGTTAGAGGCGTGTAATAGATTATAAGATTATTTCCGCAGAACTAAGGCTTGATGTAATTCTCCTCCTGAACTGTATTATACTTCCCAAAAAGCTATCTAATTTCCAAAGCCATTATTTCTATCAGTAATTATTCCCCAGACTTATTTATGGTGTGATTCTGTAAAGGTGAGTTTGCTGTTTTTTCACATTTCTTATTCTTTAAAAAAAAAAAAAACATTTGCATGCTTCAGTCGTGTTTCTTTTGATGATGAAACAAGTGGTCTGAACAAAATCTAACAAAGCTAAGTTTCCTTCTGGTGGCATTTAGCTGCAGCTGACTGATGAGTGAAGAGGAGGCAACAGCAAACAGCAGCTGCCCTGGGCTGCCATGCAAAGAGGAAGGCTTTACCTTTCCTTTTACTGGCAGAGCAGTGGTAACTTCCCTGACACTAACTGGACTCCACACAGGGTGCCCACACAGCAAGTGATGTGCTTGAAGGCAAAGACTAGCCACCTGTGAAAGGAGAAAGGGGGATGGTGGCCTGCAGAACTGTGTTTACTGCTCTGTACATCCTCCTCTGGTTTTAGATCCCCGTCTCTTCAGGACACACAGGCACGGGTGGTAAGGTGGAGAAACTGCTAATGTATCTCCATGGGTTTAGTTGCCATGCCTGGGGATGTCCTCAGGGCGTGCAGATTTTAAAGCTTGTTTTAAAAGTATTCAGACTTCCTCCAATGCAGTATTATAGGGAAAGTATTATTATTACACAATCTTTTGGAAACTCTTCCATGAGCTCTTTGATACTTTATAACTTAAAGGAATGAATGCAGTTTCTCATCAACCAAAAAAGGTTAGGAGGTGTCATACCCTAGGGACTCCTAGCTGTTCATCAAGGAAATAAAGAAAAGGCAGGAGCCAAGCAGCCATCCACTGCAAATGACACCTTAGAACTGAGGCCAATTTCTTGTTTTCAGTGGGGCCATAGTGAGCTCTCTTCTGCATCTCGTGATCTGCTGTTGTCATCCTTCTCACTCCCACCTCTGCTCACTGCCCTTTGTTCCTACAGACACCCGCCAGTGGTGTGTGCAAACCTGCAGCATGGTCTCTTCCTTCCAGCACAAGCATCAGTGGATGCTAGTAATCCCACCAGGCCATGCTGCCTCATCACTGCTTCATATTAAAACAGCTTCATTGGTTTCAAGCACCCTTCAATGTGTATGTTGCTAGTTAAGAGCCTGCTCTCAAGTATCAGCTTCAACTAATGCACACAGCTGAGGCTCCATGACTCGAAGAGCTGTATACACCCTAGGTTCTGAATGACCCGGCATTAAGGTATTGTTGAGAGTTGTATTAAAACTGCAGAGATAATGTCAAAAAAAAAAAAAAAAAAGAATCTGGCTTTGCTTTTCATGTACTCCTTCAACACATGCAAACAGAAGAGGAGAGCTGCATGTGTTGCTTCAAGCCAACACCTTGAAATTTTCTATTGCCACAGCATTTCAGAACTGGAAGTAGAAACATTATCCATGTGGGTCTAACAATAAAATGTATCCAGTGTTTGGAAATAAGAAAAGGGTGATAACAGGAAATGTCCTATGAGTAGTAAGAGTAAGAAAAGGTTGCTGGATATGTCTGCAGAGCAATTGTCTTAGAAACACGCAGTTGGAATTAGAACAAAAGATAACCGTGAGGTTATCTTCCGTTGTGCCCGAAAACAGGCACAAAATTCAATACATTATCAGTAACTTTTTATCATTTTGGCTTTCTTCTTGACTTTCATGTCAAACAGAGGTTCTACAGTCTCCAGAGCAGAGATCTTCCGTAAAACATTTAAGCAGGTGTTAATAGAAGTAACAGAGGGGAGACAGTGTGTAGATCTTGACTGGTTCCAAATAAACCCTGGAAGTTAGTTCCTTATGCAGAAGAAGAGGAGCCAAGCACCCAGCAACTTACCCTCTCTGAATGGGTCAGACAGCAGTTCTCCCCATTCTGTTTCCACAGCTCGCTCACTTTCTGACACGCAGGATGGTGCTCTGTGGAGGAACAGGCCAGCAGCTCTTTGCCTCTGTTTTCACAGAGATTTAGGGATTATCAAAGGCAGAAATCCTTTTGACCTTGAACAGTCCTTTCAACCCTTTGAGTATTTGGTGGACCCCGTACTTCAGCTCTTTCAGAGCTTTCCACCTCTCCCACTGCCCCTTCCAACTCCCAACAAGACCACATACACACAGGTGAAAATATCAGATAACTGCTAGGCACATGCTCTCACTGCAAGCCTCACCCTTCCCACCCACAAAGGAAAGATGTTAAAGATTAACTCTTTTGAGGCCGTGGCTCTTCTTATTAAATGTGATTTAAATTCATCAGTGCATAAATGGAAAACGGTAAAGGACAGAAGACAGGGAATGGAGAAAATTCAGAAAACAGCCCTAAGAGCTTCTAAAGATAGGTCTCTGCTACTTTGAAGAGAGGAATGCTGTTCCCCAAAAATACAATTTTCTGGATTCACATTCTGCACTCTCATCCACAGGTTTTTGGAGAAGGAAATACATGCAGGAAAACTGCTTTTGATGACAGCGCTGTGAAATACCACAAGCATTCCTGCCAGTGTACGTTCAAGCTCTGAACTCTGGTTCACCTCAGTTTTAGATGAAAGAGACACTCAGTTGATGTCACCTTGCTTCCACTAAATTCTATTTGAACCACTGATTGAGGAGGAAGCAGAATGTGAGCACTGCTTAAGAACTTACCACTTTCTAGAGCAGTTGGTTTCCTTGTATTTTCCAATAAAACATTTGCAGGGGCACTTACTAAAACAAAGAGCCATTATTTCAGTCATGTAAAAACTATCATTTACTTTCAGCAAATGGATCAAAAGAAGCTCTTCTGTAAACAAAATTCTCATCCCACAGACACAATGGTATGCACAATAACATCACATTTTGCCAAGAGATTCCAGTAGAAAACACAGTAATTCCAAAGAAAGAAAGTGTAAGTTTATTGGACGCCAACATTTCTTAGTCAAGTTCTAAGTAAAGAAAACATACAGTAGAAAAAGTTGTACAAAGCAGCAATGGATTTACATTGCATTAAAGAAAAAGTTACCCTAAGCTATTAAGTCTCTGTCCTAAAAAAGTAAAAACCCATTCTTAATTACAATCCAATACTGGTGTATCGAATTGATATACAACAACTGTAAGGTATACAGGATTAAAAAAACAGCTTCTTTTGCCTTACCTCTATAACACTTTAAAACGACAAGTGATTTTGTGTGTAACGAATTGGAAAATTCCATAGCAAATATATTGGATAATTCCAACTTCTAGAAACTGCATCGAACTATCTCCCCACACCCAAATACTACAAGTGATTCCATTTTCCTGCTTTTTAAAAAGGGACACTGTCAAGAATAAGCTTTACAATGTGTACTTTGTATGTATTCTGCAAAAAGATGGGTTTTTTTCCTGCTTTTACACACATGCTTTAATTAAACGCGCTGCAGTAGCGAGAAGCGTGCATCTTGAAAAGGTACCACGTATCACTGAAAGGAACAACAAAGGAAAAATAGATCAAGTCCTTTATTCTGGGTTAGAGAAAAAACAACATGAAAGTGAGCTCCACCCACAGAATTCAGATCTATTTTTCTGGCACCTTTGCAACAATTTAGGGAAATGCCCATAATAGGTATCTTCCTGCCTAACGAGCTCAAGTGTTAGCTCGTGTTTTCTTTGAATTTATTCATATCAAGTATTTTCAATATAAGTATATTTATAGTATACACCCTTTCTCTTGATAGTGTCCCTTTATGTACAACAGTTATAGTACAGTTTTTCACAAGTTGTTTTAAATAAACAAGAATCAATGACATTAAAAATACTATCAGGCTGCATTTAACCAAAAAAAAAAATAAAATAAAAAAAAAAAAATTAACACTGATTAATCAACAGCAACATTGAAAAAATCCTAACCTGACTGTGATTTTTATCTAAATCTTCTGGTAGGAAAATGTAAACAATTTTATTGAACAGTACAGGCACACGCCAGACTACAGGCTCATGCCAGATATTTGCACCCTCACTGTTAGCGCCAAGAAGTTTGACATAAATCTGTCCTTATCCCATGTGTGGAACTTCTAGTTTTATCACTTGAAGTTTGGAACAAAAACAGAGTACATGTAACTTCAGATCAAACCTGCACATGCTATTTGGGGGGAAAAAGGTAGCAAAATAAAAACAAAATGTATTCTACTGGATGCCACCAGAATGCTTGCTTAAATAGGAAATGCAGGGAAGAAATCTCACAGCTGTGTGCTTTGGTTCACGGATAAGGCTACACCTCCACTCTGAAAGATGTGAGAAAAAGTCTAGTGTCACCTTCAGTAGGTTATCTTCTCAGCTGTCAGGATGTTTCTATTCTCCTTATACAAAAGAAAATATAATAAAATACAAGAAGTATCATAGCATCATATAATGTTTAGAGTTGGAAGAGACTATGAAGACCTGGTTCCAACCCCCCTGCTGTGGTCAGGGACACTTCCCATTAGACCAGGTTGCCCAAAACCCCATCCAACCAGCCCAGAACAGTGCCAGGGATGGGGCATCCACAGCTTCTCTGGGCAGCCTGTGCCAGTGCCTCACTGCCGTCTGAGTAAGAATTTTTTCTTTAATCTAATCTAAATCAATCATCTTTTAGTTTAAAGTTCCTTCCCCTTGTCCTATCACTATGTTGCCTCATAAACAATCCCTCTCCAGCTTTCTTGTAGGTCCCCTTTAAATAGAGGAAGGCTGCAATGAAGTTTCCCTGGAGCCTTCTCCAGATGGAACAAGCCCACCACCTTCGGCCTCCCTTCACAGGAGAGGCACTCCAGCCCTCTAATCACCCACGTAGCCTCCCCTGGATCTGCTCCAACAGTTCCATGTATCTTTTGTTCTGGGGGTCCCAGAGCTGAATGCAGTACTGCAAGTGGGACCTCAAAAGGACAGAGCAGAGGGAGACAATCTCCTCCTTTGCCCTGCTGGTCAGCCATCTTGTGATGAGGCCCAAGATGCAGTTGGCCTTCTGAGCTGTAAGTGCCCACTGCTGGCTCGTGTCCAGCTTTTCATCTACTAGAACCCTTAAGTCCTTCTTCTCAGTGCTGTTCTCAATCCAGTCATCACTCAGTCTATGCTGAAATTGAAAACTGCCTTGACTCAAATGCAGGACCTTGCTCTTGGCTTGATGAACTTTACGAGAGGGCCTACTCCTCAAACCTATCAAGGACCCCCATCGATGGGGTCTCTTCCCTCTTAAATTATCTTCCCTCTTAAATTATCAATCAAATAATCTGAGCAGCTTCGCATCATACGCAAACTTGCAGAGGGTGCACTCAACCCCACTATCCCTGTGAAATCCCACTACCCATGAAGATACTATATGGTATTGGTCCCAGTATGGACCCTCAGGGGACAACACTTGTTTCTGGCTTACACTTGGACAATGAGCTGTTGTCTGTAACTCTTTGCACATGGCCATCCAGGCATTCCTTTATCCATCAGTCAAACCCCCAAAATATATACCTCTTCACTTTAGTGGCAAGAATGTTGTGGGGGACCATATCAAAGGGTCTTACAGCAGTTCAGGTAGATTATTACTGGTTGATGTCCTTCATTTTTGTAAGACTGCAGAATTATATTTTAGGTGTACATGCCATTTTTATGCAGAGAAAAACTCATTTTAACTTTTCATTCTAGAACTAAAAGATAAACCCATACGTCATTTCTCACTTTCAGTGGGTGACCATGGTCCCAATGTATCAAAAAACCTAAGCATGTTTTAAAAAAAAAAATAAATGTTAAGACTGATCTCATTGGAACTTATCACATGCTGAGACCTTTGCCAACACAGTGCCTCAAAGGAAAATAAGTCCCAAACCAAAATACATTTTATGGCTCAACTCTGCTTCTCTTAAATGCAACAGAAGTTTTCACTGCACTTCCACTGAAGCAGTATAGATCTCTGAGATTTATCTGACAAATTAAAAAAAAAAAAAAAGTAGTAAAAATTCTAATCTATATATATTAAAACATCTGCACATTCCTGTCACAAGTTTAAAGGAAAAAAACCCTTTTTGTATTTAGCAAGAGCTCTATATATGCATCACTTCAGCACACAATTACAAAATTAAAATATGATGAGGACAGGTTTTTGTATCAATAAATTTGCCTTTTATTTTGGCTGTGGCCAAGCTAGACACTCTTCAGAAGATATTTATAAACAAACAACTAACATTTTTTTCCATAATTTAACTTTTTAAACATATATTAAAGTTATATAAGTGGAAGCATATTTATTCCGTATCCTCCAAAATAAACACTTCTATCAAGGGTTTTTTTTAAAGGTACTGTATAAAAGCTAATAGAAAACCAGAACTACTATATAAACATCTCATATTTAAACTTCAGATATCCTTAATTCCTTACGAAGCAGGAACTGAATGTAAAAAACTGAACTAAACACAGAACACGCTTAAAGTTAAAAAGAGACTTAAGAAAATCTGAAGAAACGCTTAGGAAGAAGCTATTTAGACCCAACTTTTTTTTTTTCTTTTTAAATATAATACATAGCGTGCTAGGAAGAAGGTCATTTCTTCAAAGATATTGTATGAGCTTTTCATTTTAAGTGTGGGGTTTTTTTTAATCATCACACCACGTATCAGATTCCCAGTTGGAAGTTCAATGACTGTAACATAGTTGACTAATTGCCATTTTCTTTTAGAAAGCACCCTGATTTTTGAAAGGCTGGATATGAACTACTATGCTGTTGGGAAGAGGAATAACTGGTGAAAACTTAGGTATGAGTTTACAAGAACATCTTCATATTTTCTATGCACACATCTCTTAAGTACATTTAAAGCATACTGAGCAAGTCTATATGTTTTTCTCATTTTGTTAAATTGGGTTACTTAAGAGCTGTACACATTTCACTTTTCTTGTAAGAAATCAATTTAGTCTTATCAGGGTTTTTAAGAACTTAACTGATAGTGACAGGTTAACATGACTAAGTTGTGATCAAGTTTGCCTGGAAGAGAACAAAAAGAATGTTTAGCAACAATTTTATATTGCCATAAAAAAAATGAACGGAGAGGCTTGAAAATAACACTGCTTTTTTTTTTTTGGTAGCTAAGAAAAGGAAGCCGGTGGCCCATACGGAGCCTATATTTTTAAACTTAATTGAAGGAAAAACACTAAAAAATTCTGTTGGGAGAAAACTAACAGTGGCACACTTGGACTTCAATTGAGAAAAATCTTTTCTGGTGTGTGCCTAAATGAGGGTGCTCGTCCTCAGATCCTAAAGTTACACAGGTGCTTTATTTTTGCTAAATGCTGGTACGAGCAAGCAACACTTTCTAACTTTGAGTGTAGGATGCTGAAAAAAAAAAAAAGCACTATTAGAGTCAAATAGAATGAAAGCCTCACTCCTATTCCCACTGTAACTGGTGACCAAACTCTTGCTCTTATCAGTGAGCAAAGACTGGGCTCTGACTAGATAGTGTGGATTGCAACCCCAGTCCCTCAACTTCCAGAGTGAAGTTAGTCAGAATCATAAATACCATTTGCATCACTGATGTTCTCACTGTTCATTGCACTACTCCATGAAGTTTAAATTCCAGTAGAACAATTTTTCACTTAATTTACCACAACTTTTGGGTAAACGCTTCCTTGAACAAAGTAATTTTGGACCCTTGCTGTAGTTTCTGGTAAATATCTATGATTCGACTTTTACTAAATGCTCCAGTTGTGACTTGTGGTAAAATAATGGAACTGCACAAAGTATCTGCAGCACATTATTCTCATGATTTTCAGCAGATAAGAAAACTGCTACACAGTACCACAAAGGATAGGAAGCAGCAGAAAGAAATATTCTAAGCGTTGTATTCATAAAATACAGTGATAGCAATGTGATGGTTTTTCCTCTGCTTTGAGCTGGATATGCACGCTTAATACAAATTTCAAATACATACTTCTTCATTTATACAGATGTCTATATAAATATTTACATTTTTACTTTATGTTAAAACTCATCTTTGTACTCATGGCCAAGCTTATCACTGAGTGTAGGAACACAAGTCATCTTCTATCCCTTACCGAGCTTTTTTTGCTTCTTAATAGTTCTACATTTCTTTGCAGTTAGAATTACAAACAGTTGTACAAACAGAGGAGCAAAATTACGAAACTTATCCGACATCCATCCAATCTTAGTTCGTATTACAAACAGTAACATTTGCATTATGATGGCTGTCAATACAATGACTTTAGTTACTGAAATGTTCATAGTAAATTAGTCTTTGGGAAGTTATATAAAGCGATGTACCCCCACCCCCCACTTCTCCTTAGAAACTTATAATTAAATGGCTGAAAGCAGGCTTGCTGCTATTTTGTTTTCTTAATATAAAATCTTATTAATAATATTGCTGATTTTAAATTCTACTTTAATTTGCACAAGTTCCATATAACAACAAAACAATTTTATGTTCCCTTAAAATATCAAACATTCGTATCCAATAATATCGGGATTACTGAAACGTGAGGTTTATTCGTTATTGCTAAAGATCTCTAAGACCTAAGTCAATACATTAAGACACTCCATCCACTTCCTCTCTAACTGCAAGTGCATGGCAGCTATTTATATGGAGCTTCTGTGTTGGTTTCTTTAAGAAAAAAACCAAAAAAACAACAAACAATGAAGTTGGTTACAGTATTTCACCACTATAAACTCACAGTTAGAATCCAAATTTTTGTTGCTCTTCCATTTAATATATAACTCTATATATAATACACACGCACACACCAACATCACAGGATGAAGATCCATGCATACAATCCAGATGCGATCGCATTTCAGTGTTAAATGAAATCAAAATTATTCTGTTACTATTAGATCCCAGTCCATATTATCTTTAATTACCCAGCTTTCTAGCTACTAACAAAGTTAGTTTACCTTAATCTCCAAATCCAAGCAGCATCACAAATTCAGAATCTTCTGTCGTCGTCGTTGTTTTGATCCTCTTAAATTTCAAGTTTACGTGGCATACATCCGAGATCCTGAAAACAGCCTCCACCAAATCAGCTTTTTAAGGTATCTCTGAAAGCTAATTGTGTGTCTGCTCATGGCTCCAAAGACTAAAAGCTGTCTTGAAAGTCCTGTGACAGAGTTTACACATGTACTGCCTTTTGAATGTGATTGCTGAGAGTGGTGGAGCATGATAGAAGAGCGTATCTGACTCCTGCGGTACAAATAATTTTTCAGTAGTAGTGGAGCTTTCAGACAAGCCTGTTGGACTATCAGGCTCCAAAGGCTGGATTTTGGGTAGTGGCGGGGGCGGAGGTAAAGGTGGTGGTGATGGGGAATTAGCTGGTGGACATACCTCAGGCTCCTTATTTGTGGACTCCTCTGCAGCCTGCGACATGTGGGACTGGAAGTGACTCCAGAGCCGGAAATTGGTTCGGAAGGCCTTGTTGCACACGTGACAAATAAACGGCTTCACGGAGCATAAGAGCTCTTGGTGACGCTCCAGTTGTTTGCGTACAGTGAAAATCTTCCCACACTTTTCACAGGGCCACAAACCAGCATCTTTGTTGGAGACTACTTCCTTTGGTTCTCTGCTTGTCTCAGTGACCTCATCCTCTACGTCGTCCGCAGGCTCTTCCTTGATTTGAATTTTAAACTGCTTGGAAACACTTAAGTCTTCAGGCAGGCAAGAGGAATCTTCAGAATCAAAATTAATCTGTTCTGACGAGTCACTGAATACTCCGTCTTCCTTTGCAGCAAAATTGTTTATTTTGTTGGATTCTGACTGAGGAGGCAATCTTAATGAACTAGTTATGTCTCCATTGTGATCCAGGATAGGTAAAGAAAAGTTCTCTGATGGAGCCATCGTGTTCTGATTGTGAACTTCAACTTGATGACGCCAAATACTAAAGGATGATTTGAAGGTGCGCATACACTCAAGACAAGTAAGCTTCTTGTATTCACACTTGCTTTCATGCTCATGCTTCAGCTCTGGGGATGAAAATCTAAGGCTGCAGTAAGGACAGACAGTAGCGTTTCTACAGAGTCGCTCATGATTTCCCTGTTCAATAAGTGAAGAGAGCTTAGCATTACAGAGACGGCACTGATAAACTTCCTTGTTTTCTACATGACTTTCAATATGAATATGGTCTTTCTGCTTAGGAACCTTATTTCCTCCAATTGGTTTTTCTCCTGGATGCATTTTTATATGCTGTTTGAACTGTGAGAGGAAACGATAAGCTTTTCCACAGTAGACACAAATATAGGCTCCTTTGGTTCTTGATCTTAAATTCCTTTTGATGACTTGTTGTGCTTGTGAAGTAGATTGTCCCTGAAAGCCTTGCTTGCCACGTCTTAGTTTAACTATCAGAGCTTTTTTAATTTCTCTCTCTCTCACTATATCGATCAGTTTTCTTTGGAATTTTTCATCCAAAACAGCATGAGAACTGGAAGCTGGTGAGGGATTCTTAACAATTCCATGTTGTGTCTGGCAGTGTGTCCACACTTTGAAATTTGTGTGAAATCTCTTGTGGCATATGTCACAAGCATAGGGCTTTTCTGGATTATGATACATGTTAACGTGACGATGAAGACCTGCTGTTGACCTGAAAATTTTAAGGCAGTGTTTGCATTTAAATTTTTTATTTGGTCTTGCTTCTTCCATTTCACTGTATTCATCTTTACTGACATCAGAATCGGCAAAATCAGCATCAAGGTGCGTAGGGCTTGAGCCTTCCTCGAAGTTTTCTTCCGATTCAGGAGAACCCTCTTCATTCACCTTGAGTTTTTTGAATGGTAGCCTTCTATCTGCTTGAAATCTCCTTTTTGCTGGAAGTCTACTTGGTTCCTTTTGATCATCCTCAGTTTTAAAAGGAAAGTCTTTATTTGTAGATACTGATGTGTCACCCACTGTAACTCTTATTATTTCAGATGGATCTGAAAGTGGACTGCTGGGTTCAGTTTTTATTCGCACCTCTGTAAGAGGGGAAGAAACTTCCCTATCAGTTGTCTGAGAGGCACTGAAAGACCTAAGGCGATGTGGGTGCATTACCTGTGGCTTTTCATCTAAGACTAACTTCTCCGATGACTCTTTCAAGCATGACTTTTGAGATGCAACATTAAAAATCTTCTGGGAATCAGTAGTTCCTGGTGAGGAGGAAGATGATACCTGTGAAGGTTTTAGGTCAACAGAAGGTGAATAAATAGGAACCTGGCTGTCCATAGACAGTGACCTTCGAAGTAGACTTTTTACGAGTGGACCACTTCTGTCAATGCTTTGGTTTTCAGGACCAGATCCACTAGATGGGATTACTAGTCCTAACTTTGAGTAGTACAGCAAATTCCTATCTTCACCTTGACCATTTCCTTTTCCTGCCTCTCGTAACAAAAATGCAGATTCTGATGAGCCACGCAGAGATAAGACTGGCGGACGTGGTCTTTTTAATAACTCTGCAGCCTTTCCTCTTAAAAGCTGACTACTGCTTCCTGGTTCATCACTTGCAATTTCTTTCTCTGCTAAAGGTTTTTGAGGCAACACTGTGTTCCTTTTCACTAAACCCCCTCTGCTCTGATCCTCTGCAGTTCCAGAAGTTTCGTGAAACTTGGTATAGCTCCCAGGGTTTTCTTTCAGCCATCTCCTTTCAGTCAGTGATAAATTGTGAAGAGTTTCAGTTGGTCTAATGCTAGTTTTGATAGCAGCAGAGGGTAAAGGTTTAGAAGTATGGCTTAAATCATGCTGCATTTGATTTACACTCTTTCCTTGTGCATCGTTTCTGTTCTGACAGACAATGACACTCCTCTTCTGAGAACTACTTTCATCTTCATCTTGATACAGTATCTTCTTAACGGGGCAAGATGGAAACGGAGCTTGAGGGCTCTTAGAAACAATGTTTGTAAGAAAGGATATTCCAAGGCTGTAACCCAGCTCTTGCACAGCTGCAAGACTGCCTTTCTCTATGAACAAGGATGAAGAATAAATGTAGTTTAACACATTGTCAAAAGCATCTGGTTCACAAAAGTCGAGTTGAAACACTGACTGAGACTCATTCTCCTTATTTGTGAACAGGGTCTGGAAGTATTCGCTGCTGGCAGCTAGAACGTTTTTATGAGCTCGAAATTTCTGATCTCCTACTATAAGCACAACATCACATAGCTGTCCCTTTAGACGCTCCTCATTCAGTGCACTTAGAAGTGAAATGGCATGTGCTGGATTTATGTAATGCAAGAGCCCCTCCATTATCCTGATGTTCCTGAAAAAGAACATAGTAAGAATTATTTTCTTATTAACACAATAAGAAAAAAAAAACTACACTGCTTTATGTAGACAGTTGTTAGAGTTAATGTAAATGAACCTAAACTCTCTGTACTTCATAAACAAGCTAATTGACCATCAATGCTGCTGAAGAAAAGAGTTTGTTTGGAGCAAAGGTATGGGATTTAACATAATATTGTTTCGCTTCAGCAGATGTACAGGCATTAGAAGCAGCTCATGCTAAAGAACACTTTCAAATACTTTCAGTTGATCTTATACTAGAAATATCACATTTAATTGGGAGATGGGGGTGGTATTGTGTTTTCTACCGGCAGTATAGCTGTCCACATGAAGGAATTCCATTTGATTTCCATCACTTCAGTTGATCATCTTTTTCTCAAATTTAGCTTTAAAAAGATCTTGGCAATTACTTCAATAAACTTTTGAATTAGCTACTGTTGTGGTTTAGCCCACCATGCAGCTAAGTATCACATAGACACTCGCTTACTCCACTGCAGTAGGATGGGGGAGAACCGAAAAAGGTAAAAATGTGAGAGCTTCTTGGTTAAGATAAAGACAGATAAGGACAGAAGGGGTTGAAAGGAATAAAAAAAAAAAAAAAAGGAAAAAAGAAAAGAAAAGAAAAAAAAAAGAACTAAAGAAAAGACAGCAAGTGATGCACAGTGCAATTGCTCACCACCAGCTGACTGACGCCCAGCCAGATCCCGAGAAGCAGCAGTCCCCCTGGCCAGCTCCCCCAGTTTTGCTGTTCAACGTGACACCACGTGTTATAGGACATCCACGTGGGCCAGAGTCAGCTGTCCTGGTTCTTTCCCCTCCCAGCTCCCTGTGCCCCCTCAGCTCCTTGCTGGCTGGGCAGTGCGAGGAGCTGAAATGTCCTTGGCTCTGTGTAAGCACTGCTCAGCAACAACTACAACAACAGTGTGTATCAACATTATTTTCATCCTAAATCCAAACACAGCACCATACCAGCCACCATGAAGAAAATTAACTCTATCCCAGCCAAAGCAAGGACACACACCTGAAGTTAGTTATACTAAGTCACTTCTTAAGGTTAAGCAACCCTGACAGTCTCCTGCTAACTAAACAAATTAAAAGGTTTTCGTTGTTATTTTTTATAGGGTGATGAAAAGGGCATTAATACTGGCAGAATTATCACCTATAATCTAGACTAATTCATTATGCCTCCTTATAATTAATGAGTGCTAACATGCATACACTTCTAACTATGAAATATGTATTAACTCTTATACCTGCACTAACAGGATTTGGTTTCTTGGAAATTTCATAATTTTAATTGAACTATCCCAGCAGCACTTTGCTTCTGCTAGAAAATAATCAGTTAAGTGAATTCTCCATCTTATTCATTAGCTTTTACATGGATTTCACGCCCATAACCTACAGTTACCCCCAGACGCATCCAAGGATGCAATAAGCACAAACTAAACTGCAGTGCAGAAATCCCCACACTGCTTCAAAACACAGCCTACTCTGTACTGTAGAATGTCTCCATAACTCAACAGGCTTCTCTTGACTAGCTTTTAACGAGAGAAGACAAACAGGTTTTAAACTAGTTTGAGCAAACAACTTCTGTCAAATAAATTGAATTTTATCTATTGGTGCACACGTACACACGCACAAAAATCAAGAATATCCAATTTTATTTTGTTGCCATGGACACTCCTACAATTCTGTTTAAGATAACCTGCAGTACAAATTTTTAACTACCTTCCTCCATGGTGATGAAAAACAAGTAAATGATGTGTCTCTTAAAAGCAATTCTTTTTGCAGCTGATTTAAGAGACTTAAAATATATACATATGATATATGCTACTATAACAAAAAGGTTTCACTGTTCATCAATTCTCAATGAAAGCTGACAATTTTATCAAAATAAAAAATAAGAAGATATAATTTTATCAAAATAAAAAATAAAGAAGCTATAATCCTGTAATTATTAAATGAGAAATCTTGCAACCAATGGGCTTCAATCACAGGAATTGACTGAAGTCTAAATTGGTAATGCTGAGAAAATGACTTAAAGTATGCTGGATACAGTGTCTCAGGACATTGGTCATATCACAGGACTGAGCTACCAGTTTTACAGCTGAAATTACCAGATGAGTTCATAGTATCAGGGCAAAAGCAAAATTCTGTTTCTTCTTCAGATCTGCCTCTCAATAGAGTGTTCCAGTGCCTTGCAGCATTATTTCATTAACACTAATTTATCCTTAATTCACCTCAAATACTTATAAATGCATAATGCCTCCACTGCTCTCTCTAAAAAGGTAGAACAATTACGCTTCTATGAATGTGAGAAATGAGAAATCCATCTGTTTTGTTCTATTTTTTATGTTTGACTTAAAAGTACCATCTGGGGTGTGAACTATTTTTTGGACACTTCTGCAATGTAAAGTGGTGGTGTCCGAATGGCCCTAGGCCAGCTGGGAGGTCTGTGCACCCGTTAACACTTGAAATGTTATTAGCAAGTGCTCCAGGAATGCATTTTTCCCTTTAGTTTCATCTTAAAGTTTACACACTCATATGATTTGTCTGTGTTGCAAATTAAATAGTCTACAGAGATAACAAAACAACAATGTATTTCTGAAGGAAACTTGAACTAAAATATAGTAGTAAAAACACCTACTAAAAGTTGCAGCTGAACCCATACCTCAAGGACACGCTGGGTAGGAGACGGTCAAATGTTCTGAAGTATTTTCAAACCTTTCATTTTAATCTGCTTTACCCAGGCCTTGAGTTTTCTGTAAGACACCTGAAGAATAAACACCATGCAGTTACTATGCGTTCCTTTATTCATCATAACACAGTAATGCTATTTCTACAGGTTGGTGTAAAATTCACACATCTAAAACGGAATCCGACAGCCCCCCAATTTTCTTCCAATATACTCCTTAGTCGTAGGACATCTTGAACATGCTACATTACACAAGACAGAGATAAGCATCCTAGTACAATCCTCCATTTCATTCACAGAGCACAGCACTAGAAGAGGCAGACCTCTTTGGTGCAACTGGCACTTTAACAGTAACCAAGGCTGCAATGTACACAACTGGCAGGGGACCAAATTAATCCTGCAAAGGCAGCTTTAATCCTGGTCTTTCCTACTTCTAGTGCTTGACTTTCAGCTCCATAGCCTTTAAAAACAATGGTCAGAAATAAAACAAGTTATGGTATGTTAAAAAACAAATCCAGAACCAAAAAAACAAATGCAGAACCATTTTAACACCTTTACACAGACCATAAGAAAGCCCTTTAAGACAGATTTTAAAAAATAAAACAAAAAACCCACAAGGTTACTTTTACTGTGTAAAAGTACAGTGTATTAAAATTTCACTGCATGAACAGTTGTTGATAACGAAGTTAATCAGAGAGTTTCTTTCTCCCTTTGGTTCATCCTATCTGCATGCTGCCAGTCACAACTGCAGCTGCACTAGAACAAATATTTGCAGGTCTGCATTACAGAACAGGTCAGACAATACATAGAGAACAAATATTTCTTTTCAAATGCTGCTCATTTCTCACAGTCAAGCTCAATCCCAGGAACAATTGCATTGGCATAACTGAAGAGAAGGCAAACTGTGGGAATGGAACAGCTCTGGGAAGACAAGAGATTCTTACAGTAGTTTGCCACTAAAGCTGATGTATGGCTGACAGCACTGAACCCCTTTATAAACGGCATCCTGACTGTGTGTAAACAACAGATTTGATTCCAGGTGTTTGAGGAATCATACTTCTTCGGCTGAAGATTATTTTGCCATTAACTGCCTAAGCCCTTTCCTGATAAGCTGCTTTTTTTTTTTTTCCCCCCAACCAACTTTTCCAACTGCTTTCAGTACCGGATAGAAACAAAGCTATTTCCTACTTTGTTCCCTGATGCCCGAGTGATGTCAAGGAGACAGAATGTACCAGATCTCTCACTGTCTGTGCTCTGGTGTTATGTGCTACTGGTCCTCACGAGAAACAATGACAGCGAGGCTCCAAATCCAGAAGAGGGAGGCGCAACAGGAGCACCTTTGGGAGATAAGAGATTTTATTGTCAAATCTTCAACAGCCCTCTACTAATATCAGCCTACAGAGGCTGAAGTACCACATTTGACACAATATTATAACAAGAAGAGCAAAGTTATTATTTTCAACAAGGACAGAAAAAGATACCTCCACTATTTCAAATGACTGCAAAAAAAAAAAAAAAAAAAAAAAAAAAAAGAGGAAGTCTCTACTCACAAAAGCTCTTCACAAGTGAAGGGTGAAGAATTTTTCTTGTTAGCACAGCAGATCATTGATTCTCACAAGCTCCCTGTCATCACTATGTGAGATCCCCTTCCATCCCTTAATCTCATGCCTCCTGCTCCAGCCCTGGGGTCCTCTACCTTCTACTGGCTCAGTTGCTCATGTGACCACCTACTAAGTTGATTCAGCTCCCAAAAATGAGGCAGGAAAAAAAAAAAATAATAAAAAAAATAAAAAAAAAAAATCAACCCAACTTTTTATATACGCGCTAATTTAGAGGTGAGAAAGTTAATCAGCTCGTGCAGAGGTCAGATGCATCAGAGCTGCTGTAAGAGAAGCAGTGAAACTGCCTTTTCTTTGTCAGCAAGTCAATCTGCTTTGCCGTCTGAAACTTCATTTTCAGAAGCAATGAAGTCACTCAGGCTGAAACTTTACAAATAGAATCAGGCAGATGTTGTAATGAACATTTTCATACAACTAATACTTGTAAATACTTAAGTAACTAAAACAAACAAGACGTTGCTGTTGCCTGCTGACTTCCATTATAACCACGTAGCTGTCAGCTAAAGCCATGTCAACAGCGTCCTGGGGATGCAGGTAGCAAAGACTGTTCCGAAACACCTGAGGACACAGTGCTGCAGCAAGAATGTGCCAGGGCTGACAGAAACTGCAGCTAGAGAACAAGAAAACACAGGAAAAGAAGAAACACACACACAGGAGACAGACAATGAGAGAGACTGAACAGTGGCTCTAAAAGGGAAAGACATGTACAACTGCGGTGGAGGGAAACCCACCAAAACACAGAGAGATACAAACGGAGAGACCCAGCCTAGGAGCACAAGAGGCTTCCTGTGGTGTCACCAGGGAAGTGCAGGCAAGTTGTGCCTGGCCATGAGCGCTCTGCAGTGGCTTTGATGGCTCTGGTTGATCTTGTACTGCTTCAGACCCGAAGTGGAAAGAAGCCTCATTATCAATCAAGAGACCGGATGCAAAAGAAACCTACATTGCTCAAACTTCTGCTTGAGTATCCTGTGCTGGATTGTATTATTTGAGCTTGACTACAGCTTGTCAAACACCTTTTCACATACACGCAACTAAAACTTGAAGTAAAAGCTTTGAGCCTACAGAACAAGACTGTCTGCACCCCTGTAATTTTTTGTCTAAGTAAATATTTGAGTTATCTCTTGCTGCAAGTTTGGGGATTTTGTCTTTCTGGATTTTGAAAAAAAGTGATTTCAACTGCTGCTGTTGTTTTCTCCACTGCAATCAACACTGAAAAGTCTCTGAAGACAGATCTTTTCATTTCCAATATGTCGGTAGCCAGGAGATTTAGGAAAACAAGCATAAAATCGTAAGAGAAATGTATTTATGTGTGAAACTGATATAACAATATCAAACTATTTGACACAGGCACACCAGAAGCAGCAGAAATTTAATGACAGGAAAAGAAGAAATTCTGTACTATTGCAGTCTCTTTATTTTGCCCTCCACTACAGACAGACCAGCGATTATCCTAACACAGATTAGATGCTCAGAAATCAGAAACTGTTTTTCACATTCAGATCAGACATCACTTTGCCAACTGACATTCAAAACAGCTCCAAGCTACAAAGTCTCTGAGTAGCACCACAATGCCTTTCACGTTCTTGTTTACAAACGAGCAGCTTTTAAGGGCGTGATTTCACCTTAGTCTCAGTCCAATCTAATCAGAGATTGAAGGGATCAGTCCACACCTCCTCCCCCTCTAAGGACAGACAAGTTCATTGTCAGCTGGGCAAGCTGATCCAGCTCACCAGGAGATTGCACAACCACGGGATATAAGGGAGAGGGCAGGAATGTGTGCTGGCTGGGAACTCTTCTCATTCTTCTTGGAAGAGTTCATTAAGATTAGCCATGGTTTGATACGATATTTGTCCTGGCTTCAGTACCTCAACTGCAAGGTATGCAACTCATCATCCAGACTGCTGCAAATAAAAATCAATTGCATTTTAAAATCCCTTTTCCTAAGGTCTTCGGTTTTCATTCTTTCAAGTTTCTTAACACTGCCATCAAAATCCCATGGGAAAAGCCCCAAGACTTGATGGCAAAATGCACCACTACAATCACTGAACAAAAAACTCATCCCCAGCAATATTTCAATTCCCCTCCCCCCCCCCTTTTTTTTCTTTTTAAACGAGAGATGCATGAAATCAAGAATTTGAAGAAGGGGGAATGCACACCAAATCTGTATGGCTGCATTCTTCCTAAAAGCTGAATTTATTAGTTTACTGGTAATGCAGAGATGTACTTAGCAAGTTGAATAGTATTTGGTCACCTGCTCTGCTGTATGAGCCGCTCTTTGTTTAACTGGTCTAATGCACAATAAAATTCTATTTACATACTGCTTTCAAATCTGCTGGCATAGTGAAAATGACAAACCACAATCATAATCACAGAAATATTTCTCTTAATATAAAGATGCTTTTTACTGGCATAGTATTTTTTGGATGGGAACTCACGTGAGATTATTCCGTATAAACATAATTTTTTACACTAACGTCTGTGCAAGAATACAAGTATAGAAGTAAAAAGTCCTTAATCGAAAGCATGCTGAACTACTATAATAGCTGAAGTGTGCACTGAAACTAGTAAATTGCCAAGTGAACAACTTGGTAAATTTCAAGATCCATAGAGTGCAGGTATCTTTCACTCACTGAAGTGACCCAAAGAAAACTCCTTTCAGCCACTGTTAATAAAGGGCAAGATATGAAGAAGCCAACTTCTCCAAGGTTCTCTGACCATTCAGTGTAGCAGCGTTCATTAGGAAGCAGTTCACTTGCTCGAAAGTTACCACTTTTAACAGAGAGCTGAAAACAGCTGCAACTATGGCCTATGACTCACAGCTCCGCACCTCCCAGTGCAGCACAAGCTGTGTGGTGGTTACAGCCCCGCTTCCTCCACCCAGCTTCTCCTCCCTACCCCCCTGTATGTCCACACTTATTAACAAACCGGAATTATCATTACTTTGCAGACAGAACAGCTTTCAAAACCTGGAAAACTAGAAATGGAAATTACTCGATGTTTTTAAATGGTAACTGCTTCACAGCTACTGAAGTTCAAAAACAAACAACTTCAATGAAGCACAATGGCTTTCTGTAAAGTTGTCCATTCAAACCTAAACTATGGCACATCTCTGCTTGACAGCAACTAACTGTAAGGAAAGCAGAGACAGCCACTCCTGAGAAAATGATCAGAACAGCTGTTTAATTCTCTATCAGTATTTTCCAACACTGTGTACACACAAAAGATGAGCCCAGAAAAAAACATGTCTTTGCAATATCAAGCTTCTGGTGATCCACACAAGAGAGGGGACACAAATGGTCTAACTTCTGATCATTGTGTACAATTAAACGTACAGCACACATGACTTCTGGAGCTTCTTACAAACACCTCTTTCTGCATTAATTGCTAATATCATAGAATGGCTTGCATAAGAAGGGTCCTCAAAGCCCACCCGCCCCAACCCCTGCTGTGAGCAGGGCTGCCCCCTCCCACCTCAGGCTGCCCAGGGCCCCATCCAACCTGGCCTTGTGCACCTCCAGGAATGGGGCACCACAGCTTCTCTGGATGTACTAAAGGATAAGTTATTCTAAGTATTTAAATAAAGCACCTAACTCATAATGACTTGATTCCCAATTTGGATCATTGTCCAAAAGGCAATGTTGAAATTAGTGGAAGACCAAGAACACACTGGAAAAAAATATACAGCCACCCCTTCAGTTTTCATCCACAGGGGTGACCCTCAATCCAGCAGGCTCTGGGAAGCCCACAGCTGGAGAGACGCCTGATAAACCCTCTTCTGACACACACCCCCATAGCTGAAGTCTCCAAAGGTTGTGATATTTCCCCACAAGTCCTCACTGAGGGACATGCAAATTCTTTAAGTGCTCACATCTAGCCATCCTGAGTGGACTTCCTATAAGAAGAAAACACCACATGTTCTTCTGAGAGGACAACACTCTGTCATGAGCGTAATAACAGATTCAGAGAGAAGTATGCTAGATCCTATTAGGGAGAGAAAGCCACATCATTTGTGTTTTGCAAACAAGGTTTATAAAAACAGTTGCTAAGGTTTGCTCAGAAGTTCCCCCCCCTCAAGAATATCATAAGGCTGGTGGAAAATTTTAGTCAAAGCATTTAGTTTGTCAGTTTGAGCAAAGTAAGAACAGAACACAGTAACTAGCAGCCTTTAGACAAAACAGATATAGCACAGTACTCTCTTTTATCTGAAACAGATTTACTACTCCTGATGTCATACTGAAAGCATTATTATATAAAAATGTATTTAAAAAAAAAACCAAAAACCTGTATTTCCACAGTAATATTGCTTTAAGGATGAAAACTCCAACAATATCTTAACTGCAAGAGCTTCACTGTACTTGAAAAAAAAAAAAGAAAAAGTGGGATTATGTAATTCACCACAATGTCATATCTACATATCTACACCAACCCCTCCCACTGCACTCCCCCAAGAACAGGTCAGCTTTCAGAAGAGTGCCGTTTAGTTATTAAGAAGTGCTTGTTCATTGCTTGTTGAAGTTCCACAGTATGCCCTTCCTCATCAAAATATGTCATGGAGATGGAAGTGCTTCAGAGCTTTGATATTTCACCTGATCCACATCCAGTCAGGACAAATAACGAAAGCTGCACTAAAGTTCGGACATGCATTAAGGCTGGCCCCACCAACTCCTTCCCACCCTGAAATTCGCTACCTAAAAGGAATCCCCGTTTCAGCTGCAGCAGCTCTCCACACTACAGGCGGCACCTGCCCACCGCACTGTCCCTCCCCTCAGGCCGCCAACCAGCCCCTGAGCGACCGCCGGGTGCCGCGCACCCCATCCCGCCGCCAGGCGCAAGCGCGCGCCTCTCGCGCCGCCAGCGCCCCACGCCGCTCCCCACGCACGGCCGCTCCCGCTCGCCCGCGCCGCGCATGCGCCCTCACAGAGGCACCGCCCCCCGTTCCGTCCACAGCCTCCGCGCAGGCGCAGTTCCGGCAAGGGGGGGAGGGGAGAACAGGGTTGAGGCGGAGCTGGGCCGCCGCGCGTGCGCGGAAAGCCCAGCGGCGAGTCTATGTGGCGGGTGCGTGCCGGCGCAACGAGT